CTCTTCAAATTGGTGAGGTTGAAGGCCAAGGAAAGAGCAAAAATCCAATTGTAATTAAATGAAAACTGCAATGCAGTTTCCAAAAGTCCAATTTTGAGTTCTGTTACTCTTGGGTAGTTCTACTCCTCTTGCCCACCAAATTCCTCATATGGGTAGTCTATACTCTTCAAATTGGTGAGGTTGAAGGCCAAGGAAAGAACAAAAATCTAATTGTAATTACCAAAACTGCAATGCAATTTCTAAAACTGCAATGTAGTTTGTGCAAAACTACAATGCAGAATCAGTGTAAAATTTCATTGAACTGAAGCTTAAATGGTATTGCAAGATATTATATGACAGTGATGGCATCAACCATTTCCAAATCAAGACAAATGCATAGTAAGTGAGCTTTAGTTGCAGCTAAATTAGATCATTGCCTAACCTAATTATGTGCTATATAAAATGACGTTTGTGCTATATAAAATAAGACCAAATTATGTACAATGAACAACGATCATAGAATAAGATGCGTCAACCTCCAAACTTGAGTGATGAGTACATGCCCTAAATAAAAGGAGAAAATATATTGGAAACAAGCAAAGGGCAAGTGGCAATCCTTGTATTTGAGCTGTATCAAATTGGTTTAATAAAAAAGAATTCTAGCTACGTTCTTTGTCACTTGCCTGCCCAGCTGGAGTACTAGTAACACTAAGCATGCTCATTGAAAAGACATTGGAATGTGCAATGGAAACATATCAAGGTAACAGAAGTTCCTTCCATTTTCTGCATTGCAATTTCTAATCAAGTTGCAACCACACTAACAAAAAAAACAAACCAAAAGGCAAAGCCATCATGAAAACAAGCAACTAAACAAAGTCAAAAAGACATATTCATTGATGACAATTGTATAATTTCCATCAACTTCAAAAATCATACCAATATCCAATGATAAAAGAATTTAGCCAAATGTAATTAAATGGAAATTGCAATGCAGTTTCCGTTTTCTGCATTGCAATCAAAACAAATTACCACCAACAATCCTACCAGCACAACTCAAATTTATGATTTTAAAAGAAAAAAACCAACATAAACAAACAATTACACAAGAACACAAAAATCCAGTGCGGTGCAAAAATGTTGAAAATGCATTAGAGAGATTCCCATTAGACTGAGTCATAACCCTCCGAAGAGTGCAGATGTCCCTGTCTGTTTTATCGTCACTTGCAATCCAAAACTGCAATGCAGTTTCCAGTTTTCAAAAGTCCAATTTTGAGTTCCCTTGCTCTTAGATAGTTCTGCTCTTCTCTTACCCACCCAATTCCTCATCTGGGTAGCGTCTACTCTTCAAATTGGTGAGGTTGAAGGCCAAGCAAAGAACAAAAATCAAATTGTAATTAAATGAAAACTGCAATGCAGTTTCCAGTTTCCAAAACACCAATTTTGAATTCCCTTGCTCCTAGGTAGTTCTCTCTTCTCTTGCCCACCCAATTCCTCATATGGGTAGCCTCTACTCTTCAAATTGGTGAGGTTGAAGGCCGAGGAAAGAACAAAAATCAAATTGTAATTAAATGAAAACTGCAATGCAATTTCCAGTTTCCAAAAGTCCAATTTTGAGTTCCATTCTCTTGGGTAGTTCTCTCTTCTCTTGCCCACCCAATTCCTCATCTGGGTAGCCTATACTCTTCAAATTGGTGAGGTTGAAGGCCAAGGAAAGAGCAAAAATCCAATTGTAATTACCAAAACTGCAATGTAGTTTGTGCAAAACTACAATGTAGAACCTGTGTAAAATTTCACTGAACTAAAGCTTAAATGGTATTGCAAGATATTATATCACAGTGATGGCATCAACCATTTCCAAATCAGCTAGATGAAATTGAATTTGATTCTTCAAAGCAGCTTCTTTTTTCTCAAGTATTTTGATTTTCACAAAATTGATGAAAAACATAATCACTTGTATCAAAAAGAAAAAAAAAGGCAATTATACAGCAAAATTGATCCAACAACACCAGGCCATCTTTTCAAACAAACAAACAAAAAAGAAAAAGAAAAACCTATAAAATCGTAAGGATTAACAATATTTTCAAACCCCCAATTCCAAATACAAGCAAATGCATTAAAAGATAATGAAAGAGAAAGAGGCTCTCACAGGTGGAGGAGAGTCGATCTCCTTGAAATACCCAAGCATCCTACACACACAAGAAAAAACTGAACCAAGTATCAATTGACTGCTTCAAATAGCCTTATTAATCAAAAAATAGTAATCTTCTTCGTGGAGTGGGTCTCATCCCAGATGGGAAACAAATAGAAATTGTTAGTTGGGAAGAATAGCATCTTTCAATAGATAAATAAAAAACTAATAAATAACAAAGGAAAGAGCAAAATGAAATGGTGTCCAGGGTGGGGGTTTGATATTTTCCTAAGTTTACACAAAACAAGAATTCCTTTCAAGTCTTTTGACAAACCCAAAAGAAATTATTTCCATACCTAGACCATGAGCAGCAACATCTGTTGCATTCATCAGCTTTAAACTTAGAGAGGACCCAATCCCTTTCTACTTGACTTTTGTCTCCATGAATTGAGAGAGCAGGCCAACCATTCATGCGGAGCTGTCGAGTGATCTGATCACATCCTTTCTTAGTATCCATGAATATCAATATTCTGATGTCATCCATGATATCCTCAAGCAACTTTACCAGTCTGTTAAATTGAAAAAAATCATATATATAACCTGTAGAAAATAGCTCAAGTCTAACCGTATGAAAGTTAGAAACCATAACAGCATAGACTATACCCTACTTGTTACCAGTCGTCATCGCAAATGGCCCGAGAAGCCATGATCTGAGGCAGTCGCTGTGTCGGGTCTGTCCAAAAGAGAGAAAAAAAGGGTATTTTGGAAGGGTTTTAAACAAAAATGGTACAAATGTATTTTACCTTTGTAAATTTGACAGGCCCAATGAATCTGGGCCTCCTCTTTGGCCTAATCCAAAATAACAATTCTTTTGTAAGTATTAAAATCCAAACAAAAATGCCCAATGTCTCAAATACTAATTAGTAAAATTAATTATGTATAATACCTAATTTTTCTTTTAATGTAAGAATGGAACGTGGTTAATGTAATAATATAGGATTTATTTTCTCAGAATCTGGAGGATACTCGACACTTCTTTTCGATTCTCGGTACCTTTAGCTGTAAGTTATTTACTCAATATTTGTTTAAAATAAATTTTCTATTTTCTTTTTGTAGATTTCTTTTTATGGGTTTGTTGAGGATTTAGAGAAAGACGATTAGAATCTTAGATTGTGAACTAATGCTACTACTTTGTCCGCAAAATTGCAGCAGGTTGTCATGAACCTCATATGCCACATTTGAGTCTCCTTTATGGAACCTGACACGACAGAGAAAGAAAGGATAAGAGCTCAAGAAAAAGTTACCATTTTGGATGAGAGCATTGCTAGCCTCAGCTTCCCAATAAATCGTTTTGAATTGTACAAAACCAACAACGCAGATAGAGATCAACAATCTTGGGAGAAGGTTCTTGAATACACCGTCCCACTTTTCCGACCAAAGGCGGAGCCACCCTTAGGCTATGGTGGGCTAGGCTACAGTTCAGTTCAAATGTTGAAAAAAATTAAGAGTTTAATGCTAATTGTTATAAGTTCACCCATGTCCAGAAAATCCTTAAATGATAAATATATATATATGTATAGTTCATTCCTATAAAAATTCCAGGTTCCGTTATTGTTTTCGACCCGATTCCAATTGATGCTTAATTATAGCTTGTAATAAGATTGTCCCACTGTACCTTTCTTCTCTTGCCTGATGAACTAGTTAACAGGTTGATGTTTTATTGTAAGATGAAAGGCTCAAATCTCTCAACATTGTCTCACTTGTTTTGGCCGCCACGCACTAATTAATCCACTAATGGAGCACCCTCACATGACCTCTCAAAACTAATGGAGCTCCAAGTCCGAATAAAAAATATATATATATAAGGTAAAGGGCCCACCTGCAAATTCTATATTGAAGGTCCAATGAACTTGTATAAACTATAGACAAACAAACATTGGAAGATTGTGCTCACTTCCTATAACAACATGCCTCTCATAGATTGTGCTCACTTCCTATAACAATTTCTTTTTCAACATGCCTCTCACATAAATTCAAAATTTTTTTATTTCTTTAAAACTTAAAAAAGTCGTTCAGAAAATAAAAAAATATCATGACATGATTGACCTCACAGAACAACAACCCTATTTACGATATCAATAATGTTAGCGGCATCAACTGTGACAAATTTCAAATTTTATAATAACTAAAGTGGCTAATATATATCACGACAGACCTTGTTACAAATTAGGGGTCAAGAAAGTTTAAAATGAATAATAGGTGCATAATGCTATAGATTCATACAGAAAATTAAACAAGAATGTAGAGGTCACGTCCTCAATGGTCACCATCATTGGTGATGACTGACGACCCAAGAACATTATCCACGTGTACTATGTTGCTATCATGCGCCGGTCTATGTTCCTGGCGCACTTGGTCGTCCAACTTTGAAGGTTTCAACAAAACTGAGATCTACATGGCACTGCGAGAAAAATTTAGGGGGAAGTAGAAAAATAGAAAAAAAGATAAAGAAACATTCAAGCCAAAAATTTGCCAACCCATCTCTATCTATCTATCCCATCATTCGCTTCCTCCCTCAATTTCCTTTTGTTGCTTCTCCTTGGAATCCAAAGCTTTAATCTTACCTCCTCCTCAGTTGGACATCTCTGTCTGTTCTCATTTTCTGTTTTTTTCTTTTTCAACTTTTGCTGCCAATAAATTATTGGCTTTCCTTTATTGACTCACTTCATCTTTCTTCTTCTTCTATCTATAAAGTTGAGTTCTTGATTAATCTCTCTGGATTTCCCAAATCTCTCTCGTTCTTCTCCAATTTTTGACAATTTCAATCTGGGTTCTTTGGAGATTTGGTGCATCGTTTGGAGCAGAACAGGCAGAGGAGATGATGATGATGACAATGGAGGGGATGATGGATAAGGGTGTATTGGATGATATAATAAGGAGGCTATTGGAAGGCAAAGGAGGAAAACAAGTGCAGCTATCAGAGGCAGAGATCCGTCAACTTTGCGTCAACGCCCGCCAAATCTTCCTTTCTCAGCCTAATCTTCTTGAGGTGCGAGCTCCGGTTCGCATATGTGGTCAGCTCTCTCATCCCCTCTCTCTCTCTCACACAGTATTTTTCATGATCATGATGGTGATTTGAATTGTCCAATTACCAGGATCATTTATTCTTTTGTGCTTTCATGCTTCTGGATGATTATGTAAAAGATTGGTATTGAATAAGAATGATGTCGGAATTGATAATTGGATTAAATTGGGATGTAACAATTTTGCGTTTCTCATGCCCTGTATTGGATAATGATCTTTTGGAGTATTCTGTTTGAATTTTGAGAAAAATATGATCGTTCTTATGCTATGTTCATTAGATGAATTGGACATCTATTTGAGTAATCGACATGTGGCATTGTATGTCATTTTGTTCATTAGATGCAATTTCTGTCTAATAATGTTCATTTTCTGCTCAACCAATGAACATGAAAGGCAAAGAAATAACTTTATTTCGTAATGGCCAGTTTTTTTTCACTTTGTAAAAGGATTTGAAAACAACTTGATTTGGATGTTCCTTTGCTGCATTTTGAGTTCTTGGTACCATTTTGTTTTCTTGGTCCTCTTGTTGTACATCATGGGACAGTGTATCAATGATGCTCTAATGTAGCTTGCATCAAATACAGGGCAGAAATGATAGTTGAAAGAAAACATAACAATTATCTCCTTATATTTCTCTGTGTCCTTGGTGTTCCTAATATTGCAGGCGTCTTACAGGTGATATACATGGACAATACCAAGACCTGCTAAGGCTATTTGAATATGGTGGTTACCCTCCTTCTGCAACCTACCTGTTTCTTGGAGATTATGTGGATCGAGGCAAGCAAAGTTTGGAGACAATATGTTTGCTTCTGGCCTATAAAATAAGATATCCTGACAAAATCTTCCTTTTGAGAGGGAACCATGAAGATGCAAAGATTAATCGAATATACGGGTTCTATGATGAGTGTAAAAGGAGGTTTAATGTTAGGCTTTGGAAAATATTTACTGAGTGCTTTAATTGTTTGCCTGTCGCTGCACTTATTGATGAGAAGATACTTTGTATGCATGGGGGGCTGTCACCAGAGTTGGAAAATTTGGATCAAATAAAGGAACTTCAAAGGCCAACTGACATTCCAGATAATGGTCTTTTATGCGATCTGCTTTGGTCTGATCCTGATGCTAGGATTGAGGGCTGGGCAGAGAGTGATCGAGGTGTTTCGTGCACTTTTGGAGCTGATAAAGTTATTGAGTTTTTAGATAAGAATGAACTTGATCTCATTTGCCGGGGTCATCAGGTAATCCTATTTCTATTTGAGGAACTTGAATCCAAGTTACAATACAAATGACATAACTGTATATATGTGTAGCCAAAATAAGCCTCCCTGCCCCTTCTTTCTCCCTTCCCCCATTATTTTTATAAATGACGTCCACTGTGTTTTGTTCTAGTAAAAACATTGCAGGCATTACCTCTAGGCGTCCTTATGTGCACAGCCTTAGGACTATTTGCCAAATTATTTTCATGATCACTTAATCCAACTTGCCCATATTAATGGTTATAATAAGTTTACACTGTAGGTGGTGGAGGACGGCTATGAGTTTTTTGCAAAACGAAGATTAGTCACTATATTTTCAGCTCCAAACTATGGCGGGGAGTTCGATAACGCTGGTGCTCTATTGAGTGTTGACGAAGGTCTAGTGTGTTCCTTTGAGATATTAAAACCAGTGGATAATAAAGCATCCCCAAGTGGTTCTAATTCATCCAAGTTAAATCTTAAAAAGGTATGTGTACCGTTCTTTATTTTATTTTCATGATGTACGTATGATGATATCTAATCATGATGGCGTAATTTTGTGTTTCTTTGGGGCAGCTTCCTAAAACCGGAAAGAACTGATTATTTGGAGATTTCTCACAGCTCAATTAGGAGATACAACAAGCCTGACTGATGCTAGCGAGTTTGGATTCTATTAATAGATGAGCTTGGCAAGAGAGAAGCAGCGCCTTCTTGATCCCAAAGTTGAAGGCTTGATCATATTGAAAGTTTCCGATAATTTTATTGCATGAAAGTTCTTATGAAATTTGTAAATCATAACTGCATATGTTATTGCTTGTGCAGGGAAGAGGTTTTTTTTTGGGGCTTTAGACTCCTTTTGGTCAAAATTTGCTCATTAGAGCAAAATTTGAGGGTAGAGATTTAGAATGGCTTGCGTTGGTTTTTGTTGAGCATGTGTATATTAAGCTTCATTATAGCATTTCAGAATGTACTTTCACTGGTTTCCTGATAGCCTTTTCCTTCAAACGCAATATAGCGGCTCTCAATGCATATCAAACGAATCCATGTTTTTTATTATCTCTTTTTCAAAGTAAATATGGTTAAAATCAGGCCAAAAGCAAGCTGGTAGTTTTGTTTCTAGATAATCACCATTGATATATCTCCAACAATCAGTACTCATACGAGTGTATATTTCTGCTCTAGTGGGGGAGCTATAATTTTAATGAGGGGGAACAAATTTATCGTATTATTAAAAAAAATTTAATACAAGCGATAGTAATTTAGAGAAGGAAGGTTTCTCACACACATTATCGTCTTTTTACATGCTCATCCCCCCAAAACTTTAAGCCCTTATTGGGCCAGGCTTGAAAAAATTTGGGGTTTTCTGTTGTACATTTTTTTGGGCTAGACTGATAATTATACTGGGCCTAGAACACAAGTGTGTAAAACTGCTAGGGCTCCTTTTGGACCACACTTCAACAAAACCCAAGGTGTGTGCGGCCGAAGCTCCATTAGAAACAATAGACCCTCACACACTTGATAAAAAGCCCGACACTAGCAGCATCAATACTAATTGTATAAAGCTTCTCAAAACCCTAGCTTCATTTGGGTCTGTCCACTCGGAACTAAGCGGCGTCCCAACCAGAGCAACCGCGCTTCTACACCAACAGCTCTCTCTCTCTCTCTCTCTCTCTCTCTCTCTCTCTCTCCATTTGCATTACATGTATGTTACTGTATTTCTATGTGAATAACATATTGCGTTTGGTGCGAAACAGGGTATCGATCTTGTTGCAGGAGGTAAGAGCAAGAAGACCAAGCGCACTGCGCCCAAGTCCGATGATATTTATCTCAAGCTTCTCGTCAAGGTATATACTTTTCTCTTTGTGCTTATTTGCGTTTATACGACTTTTTGTTTGTGGGTATGGTTTCATTGCCCTTATGTATCTTGCTTGAAGAATGCTTGTTGTAAAATATACATATACTACAGATGTTTTAGGAATGCATATATGTGTATCTATAGCAAATTGAAAGATTGAGTATTTTTTGCTCCATTTTCTGTAAAACTCTCTCGCATTTCGGGTTTGAATAATTTGGGGTTTTTATTTCTGCAATGATGATATATGTGTATCCCAGCTCATTACGAGACCTTTTGTAGGTCAGGGAATAGACTTAACCCACATCTATCTGAGCCTTTCGCAACTTCGGTTTGTCAAGTCTGATTTATAATGAAAAAGTGCATCTGTTATTTCTTTTAAGGATTTTGAATTACATTCCGATAGAATAGAGCACCGTTTGGTGTAATTTGCTACTATTTGTTTTTTAATACTTTAGATCGTTTGAATTTATTTTTCTTTTAGAATTGTTTTCTGATCCAGATTATCTAGAAAGCTGCTTTCTTTCATTTCGTATCTCAAAATTCTTAGAATTGTTTAATGATTCTGAACTATGGAGGAAATGTTCCCTGTGATGCTTTTAAACCATGCTAATGCTGATTATTGCATGATTATATCTTTAAAAAAATTCTGAGGGAACTAGCTCATATTTTTCAAATTTTGTTCCTTTGAGGTTTGTTAACCAGATATCTTTTAGTCGGATTCATGATTTCTCCTGTATTTCTCTGCTTTTGTTTTTCTTATTGTGCCGTTTTTGTATACTATAATGATATGGATGTGTTGTCTGATCGGATACTTGGGTTTTCCTTAATCAGCTGTACCGCTTTCTTGTCCGGAGAACTGGAAGCAAGTTCAATGCGGTCATTCTCAAACGTCTCTTCATGAGCAAAGTCAACAAGGCACCACTTTCTCTCTCAAGGTTGATTCGTTATATGCAAGGAAAGGACAACAAGATTGCTGTGGTTGTGGGGACTGTGACAGATGATATTCGCGTTTATGAAGTTCCTCAATTGAAGGTTACAGCACTCAGGTTTACTGAGACTGCAAGGGCCAGGATTGAGAAGGCAGGAGGAGAGTGCCTAACATTAGATCAGCTTGCTTTGAGGGCACCATTGGGTCAGAATGTGGTATGAACTTTTAGCACCGTATAACGTCACTGTAGTTAAATTAGAAATCTTGTCTCTTAATATCAAGTAAAGCTTCTTTTTGCTGCCATTGCAGGTTCTCCTCAGAGGACCAAAGAATGCACGTGAAGCAGTGAAACACTTTGGTCCAGCGCCTGGTGTGCCACACAGTCACACCAAACCTTATGTCCGATCAAAGGGAAGGAAGTTTGAGAAGGCTAGAGGAAAGAGAAACAGCAAGGGATTTAGGGTTTGAGCTAATTAGAATTGAAAGTGTTATTTCTGGAATCCAATTTTGCTTCTCTGTAGGTGTCTGGTATCGTGTTTACTTCATTACTCTGTTGGGTAAATTTGTTTTCAACGTGGGTTAGTAAAAACTTGCTTCTTTTTTAAACGCCAATAGTTCCTATCATTTCAAAATGGTGTTTCAGTTCACCTGAAAAAGAACGTTGTTTAGTACATTTGGGGAATGCATTATATTTCTAATCCCGATTCATGGGTTATTTTGGTTACCATAATTTCTGCTCATGTTTTGCCTCCCACTGGCAATAAACTACTATTCATGCAAACGACTCAATCCATAATGTTGGAAGAATTGATTCTATGAAGTTTGACGTAGCTATACAAACAACTCAAGCACCATCAATTAACTCAGAAGCCTCTCAAAACCGATCTGTTTGTGGTTGCATTTTTTGACTGCCGATTAGTGGTAAGGCCGGGGACGTAAGGAACTCCGGAGAGCTTAATCCACTCATCACCCCTAAAGAACTTCCCAGGTGTGAATTGTGCAGCTTGTCTCCGGGTAATCTGCTTGATCCCCTGCCATGTCACACGCCTTGCCTTGTTAGCGGCAGGGCCTGTGTTGCGAAATTCTGTGTAGAAGCATGTCCTGAGCCCCCATTGACCCGCCCAAGGCAACCAACCTTCTGGTTGAATCACATCATCAATGTATGATTCCATGATGATGGTCCTCGAATATTCCTTCCATGGACGGCCAAGATATGCCTTGTTCACATTCTTGACAGGGAAGTAGTCGGGATCAGCAGTGATGGTGCTGTTCTGGATGACAATTGCAGATGGCTGGCGCCTTTCTTTCCTGCCTTGAGCTGTCACAATGCAAGACTGGTCTGGCAATGGCTTGCGGACCACGAAAGTGCAGTTTTGGAAGATTGCTGCAGCATCACCAAAGACAAAGTCTATGGTGCCGGAGATGGTGCAGTCGTGGTAGAATTGGCGGTGAGTATGAGTGTAAAGTGTGTCTTGGTACCCATCCATTGAGCATTTGTAGAAGATGGCCTCATCAGCACTCACCCTCAATGCAACAGCCTGATGTTTCTCTGGACCAGCAGAGTTCTCAAAACCAATATCCATTGCCATGAAGTGGTCTCCGTGGATAGCTGCATGCATCCATTCATTTAAATTAAACTAATGACATGTCTAATTAGATTTACTGTTCAACAACATAAGCATTTGTCTACTTACCAACAGTGGCAGTACGGTAGGTGGGCGTGCCATCAACGAAATTTTGGTTTCCAGTGATCCTGGTCTTATTAGTGCCATCTCCGATCATCATCACATTGGTCATGCTCCTGTTAACCCGGACAGATTCATTGTAGACTCCTTCCTTGATGTAGATGACAAAGGTCTCATTGCCATATTTAGGCACATGTTCTAGTGCCTCACTTATGGTCTTGTAGCTCCCACTTCCATCCTTGGCAACAACGGCGTTGGGCTTATTAGCCTTGGGAGCTGGAGCAGTGCTGATTGTGAGGAGTTTTCTGACTCCAGCTTCATACCACTCGGGGAATTCGAGATCCCCGTGACCAAGAATTGGGAGGCCATCAAGCGAAAGGAGGCGGCGGCGGCCGCTTGGGTCAGGATTGTTTAAGTCAGTGAGGGCTGAAAAGATTTGGGAGACCATGGCAAGGCCATTGCTGCTCAAACGCATAGAGGTCTTCAATAGAGTCTTCATCTCCAGCCCTGCATCAGTAGAGCTAGTAGTGTTCTCAAAGGCATCCAAGCAGCTCTCTTGGTATGTGATACTGGCACTCAGCCAAACCTTCAAATCCATGATGAATGTTTTATATTTGGAGAAGTTTTCAATGTCCCCTACTCTGTTAAATGATTGCCTGAGCTCATCAACAGCCAATTCCATGAGCTCTTTGCAGGTGTCAAGGGCCATGGATGTTCTGGGGTCCTTCTCAAGCTTCTGCAAGAGATTGGATTTTTTGGTACCCTCATAGATTTGCTTCATTGTAGCCTGGAAGCCAATCTTGATCAGCTGTATCTGGTCGGTGGTGTTTCCAGCTGCAGAGGTGAGGCTACTGAGACATTCTTGCTTGTAATCAGTGGGCTGGCAAATGGCCTTGATGGCTTTTGTTGAAGCAGACTTGTCAATGGAACTGCCTCTCTTGTCAGAGAATGGGTTTAAGTGGAAACCCTTGTCTATGCCAGCACCAACAGTCAATGCCACCACCATTGATACCAAGAAAAACCCAGAAACCACAATAATAGCAATTCTTCTTTTGGATGTCACTTCTGCATCTTCCAAATCCGCCATTTTCGACGGTTTTCAAAGAGAATTTTTCTAAATTGAATACAACAATTAGTCCTTTATCTTTCTCTATTTGTCACAAAATCTCCCAATGAAGCTATGAGACAAAAGAGAGCTAGCTAGCCCCCTCTGTTGTGTGTTTGGAAATTGATGCATAGGAGAATTGTGAATTTATAAGGGTGAATAGAGGAGGACAGATTCGAATGTTGGCAATAAAGTTGTAACAGTCGCAAAAAATATGAGGCTTGGAGGGAAAGGAAGGTTCGATGCCAAGCTAGATGTTGTTACTCTCTCTCCAAAACAAGAAAAGGGAAAGGTGAAAAACAGAAGTCGAGTAAAAATTAAACTCAATGGAGAAGGCTTTGGTCAGCTCACAGAGGACAGAGCATCAATAATTTGACCCCATAGTTAAGATTTTTTAAAGTAATTAGAATCATAGTTACCTTTAGACATGCTAAAAATTAATATTCAATATTAGGTCAGTTAACTAGTCCCCAAGTCGTTTGCACGCCAGCTATCTAAATTGTTAGTAACTTCGATAGTTTGGGGAAGTGTTGAAGAAAACTACCTACGTTTGAAAACTTTACATTGAATTTGAATATACAACTGTAATTAAAAACAAGTTTTAATTTGTCTAAATTTTCCGAATTTAGAACTAGCCTTAATGTCGGAGTAGAAATTCTTTGGTGTGATATCAACAAAACATAATGTGTAATTGAAAGTTTAGAACTTTCCGACAGTCAAGAAATTATAAAGAAAATTCGTGTCGAATTCCTAAATTATAAAGATGATATAAAACTTTACAAATAACAGAAAAATGAAATTAGAGAACCAAATGAGAGGTTTAAAGTTGACCATTTATTTTTTTGGTTTAAACTGATAATTAAACAAAAACAATGAATACAAAAATAATACAAAAAGAAAAATCAGACACCACTAATTTTTCTCTTTATTTTCCATTATCTCATGTAAATGAGAAATAAATACTAATTTTTAACAATGTTTGGTCATATATCTGCTACTACTATGCTAGAGAAGGATACAAATGAAAACCATCTTATTAGAGATGCGATCTATATAATATTAGTCCAAATAATTCCATTAACTATTTAATTTCTCAAACCCGCTGTAAACTTGACACCTGTTGATGGCAACCAAGCCCTTCCATCAATGAACCTCCCAACAGTGAAGAAGCTAGCCGCTGCAGCATCCTTGATAATGTGGTAACCGGGCCATTTGACCCTCCCGGTTAGCAAAGCACCCGGCCCATAATTCTTATACTCACCATACCACAAGGTGCCCAAAGCAAAGTTGCCATACCACTCAAGCCACCCTCTGGGCTGCACAAGCCCACTCATATAAGTGTTCATGAAAACAGTCCTGGAATATTGCTTCCATGGCCTGCCCAAATATGTTGGCTGAGTGGCAAGAACATAGCTGTCTTGGATTGCAAATCCAGTGCTTTGATGTGGGTTTTTTCTGCCTTGGGCTGTGATTGTGACCTTTTGTAATGATAGGGGGACTCTCGTGTAGATTTTGCAATTTTGTAGCACAGCTGCACCGTTGCCAAATATGAAGTCTATGGTGCCATAGATGCTACATTCACGGTAAAATTGACGGAGGGAGTGAGCATAGAGGGTGTCTTGGTAACCCTCCATGCTGCACCGGAAGAAGGCCGATTGGTCGGAGTCAACTCTAAGCGCCACGCCTTGATGGTTTTCCGGCCCCGCCGTGTTTCTAAATGTCATGTCTCTTGCTATAAATCCCTTGCCAGACACGGCTGCAACCATAGTAATATTTAGAAAATATGTCACTTGCATAATTGCATCCCAAGAAAAGAAGAACTTATAGTGCACAAAAATCTTTGAACCATAAACAAAAGATATGTAACATAACATGCTACATTGGTAATAATTAAACTTGATATAGATTGTTGACCTATTCTATGATAATTAAAGCATTTAAGATCCGATACGTTCTAATGAAAATACTTCAAAAGTAAAATATAATATAAGAATGGAATATAAGGTACTTACCAACAGTTGCAGTTCTAAATGTAGTCCATCCTTGCATGAAATTCCGTCTACCCGTTACCACAGTTTGTCCAATCCCATCCCCTACAAACATAATATTGGTTTTCTTCTTCTTCATGTCAATGTTTTCTTTATAAACTCCCTTCTTCACATATATTACGTACCTCTTGCTGCTGTAGTTTGGAGCTGCATTAACAGCTTCTGTGATTGTACGGTATTTGCCACTCCCATCTGCTGCCACAATAGCATCTGCATGCATACCCGATTGTGGATTGGATCTAAGCAGCTCTTGATCACCCTCACTGATCCATGCCGGCAAATGATCGTCTGATGATGAACTTTTATTCACCGGGGTGCCGTGATCTCTAGGAGGCTTAAAGGGTAAGCTATGTAATTGAGTGTACAAGGCCAAGACATTACCAATGAGCTGTGTGACTTGCTTCAAACTTCCCCTGACGAAATCTTCAAGACGTCTATCAGTTCCCTCAAAACCTTCAAGGCAGGTATCTTGGTTACTAAGGGCAGCACTTAGCCAAGCTTTCAAGTTTCCCTCATAGTGTTCATTGTTGTCACCACCTCGGATTTTGTTCATCTCACCCAATGACCAGGCCAACTCAGAGACAGAGAAGTCTAGGAGCTCTTTGCAATCCTCAATTGCTAGTTGTTCTCTGTAACTGATGGATAAAGAACTGAACTTTGTGATCTTTGAATTGCAGCTCTTGCTTCATTAAGTGTGTGCCTAATCGCAGCAGTCAGGATTGAAGCAGAATTTTGATTGTCAGGGGCCATAGTTTTGAGCTCAGCTTGCACATTTGTGAGGCATGAATTTTGGTCTTCAATTTCAGTGCAGGTTTTCATAACCATGGATTGAATGGAGGGGTTGGGATCTTTTGAAGTAACTCCATATGAAAAACATGAAAATGCAGACAGAATAATGAGAACAGACAGAAAATTGGGTAAGCCCATCTTTGGTTCTGTTGGAGGGAGAAAGGAAATGAATTTTATGGTCGCATGAAAAGTATAAAATTTATTTATACCTGAGGGAATGAAGAAATGTGGGAATGGCTTGTATATAGAGGAAAGGTTTTGTGCTTGGAGTTATAAATTCACCTTCTTTTGTGCTTTCTCTCTAGACGAAGTCTATGACTCTAAGTGCTTTCGTTTTTAGGGCATAGCCTCCAATATTCCATGCTTTTTTGGACCGACACGTTAGGCTGCCTTCTCAAACAAGTTATCCATTTCACACTGCTTTACATATAATACTTTTCTTCTGTTATATTGAACCCATCCATCTTAATTAGGGCTTAATTAATATAATTATATTTCCACTAAAAGTGAAATGAGTGCTAAAAGGTGTGTTAGATGACTTCTAAGAACACATGAGCATATCAGTTTACTTTTTGGGGCGAAAAAGTTGTATGTTATGTACTAATTTTAATCCACCACCTTTTCCTTTCTTTTCTTTTTCCTTCTTTTTTCTTCTTATACAAGTGATGCTGGGGAACGAGGAGTCAAACCTAGGATGCAATCCACCACCTTTTTCTTCTTCTCTTTTCTTCTTATACAAGTGATATTGAGAAATGATGAGTCGAAATTAATCCACTTGTATAATGGAAAATGAGGAATCGAACCTAGGACGCATAGATAAATGTTCTTAACCACTTGAGCTACAAACCTCTTACATTTAATTAATCCACTTGTATGATGGAAAATGAGGAATTGAACCTAGGACGCATAGATAAATGCTCTTAACCACTTGAGCTACAAGCCTCTTTTATTTAATTAATCCACTTGTATAATGGAATATGAGGAATCAAACCTAGGACGCATAGATTAATGCTTTTAACCACTTGAGCTACAAGCCTCTTACATCTAATTAATCCAAAATTGCTAGCAAATATGCCATCTTTAAAAACAATTCAAATGGAAGAGTGGCAGACCTATTAAGGCGAAAAGCCATCATAGGTGCTACATATCGCACCTCTCCTTCTCCTTGGAGTTGCATAGTAGGTGTTCGATGAAAAACCTAAGAGAAGTCTTATTGCACGTTGTCTTAATTTTTTTTTTTAATAAAAAAAATCCTAGCCATTGCTTGGGCTTTAATAAGGCTTGCACAATTCCTTATTTAAGTGGAGTTAGGAGTTCTCTTTATAAATAACCAATTTAACATCACCTAATTTTATCAAGTGTGTGTGCAAGACAAGAATTTTGCGTTTTTTTTTCCATCAGAGTTTTTTTTCTTCTCTTATTTAGCTCTCTCTGTATTGCACCTCTGCTAAAAATATTCATGAGTCCGCCTGTGGGCGCACATATTGCAGAAAATAATCTTTGAGTGAATATCATGAAAGATTATTCTCATCCCAAGCCTAAAAACACAAGTACAAAAATGGTCATCGTTTCTCATGCTAGTATCCCTCGTTTGTAAAACTTATCACCACCTTCCTCTGGTGAATAACTAATACTTGGTTGCCTAGTAATGTGACCTGCACCATCTGATGCTAAAAATGCCTTTGCATTCCAATACCAAGGTTGAAGGTATGGTGAAGAAATAGATGAACTTGAGGAAGGGTGAAGTACCACAGAACCCCAATCTCTAGTCCCGAGTTTTACTTCCTTTAGTCTTCTTCGGATTAGCAAACATCCAACATCTTCTTTTTTCATCTCTGATACACTTCTTAGTATAGAGATGCATAGAAGAAGCACCAATACTGCATCTTCTTCAGGCATCAATTCTGCTACCAATAGCTTCCAATTTAAAAGAGCTGTTGCTCGTCCGTTTGGATTATCTTCTGTGTACCGGACAAGAGTTAGGAAGCCCTCTTCTTCTTCATCTTCTTCTTCCTCTTCACCTTCTTCCTCATTTTGCCACTCTTCGTCTTTGGTCAGTGACTTTTTTTTCTTTACTTGATACTGCATTTTCCGTCCTTTCAACAGCTTAACCTGCAATATATGATTGATTTTCAAACCAAATTATGCGAAACTATATACATATGCATGCACTGGAGAAAAGAAATTGCCAACGTACCATTGATTCTGCAGCTGGATTTTTTAAACCAAAACTCAGACCTGATTTTGATGATGACAGTTCCCACTGTATCATGAGTTCGTCTCCTGTCGAAAAATTCCAAGCAGCTTTCCATTGTTCTGGTGGTTCTTTCGGTATGGCTGTTCCTACCAGTTTCACTGTACTACAACGGCAGAAAAATGTTTACAATTTGATTCCAAACAAATGCAATTAAGCACTAACTGTAAACAGATAATAGTCTCTAAGAAGCCCATGCAGATATATACAACATACCAGGGGCTCTACCAATGGAACCAGCAACATACGACCAAGAACCTTCTCGAATCTCTATAATCCTATCCTCCCATTTCACAGCTGATGGAGTTTCGCCTCCTCTTCTCCAAAACCCTTCTCCCACCCTGCAATTAATGTGTATCCAATTAAGTAACTGATACAATGTTGTCTGAAAAGGCCGTAACTGTCAAAAGATTAAAATTGTCCTTCCCCTGATAAAAAAAAGATAAGCTGTTAGAACTTAACCTTATTCGAATCACAAAACACTCTCTCCCTGCATGATCAAGAACAGTGCGAGACAACCACCGGCCTTCTTGGGGACGATACTGGTTCATTCTCAGAATCAGATCCGATATCATTGCCCCAGAATCATCTGTGACACGGTCTGGCACACATTTCAACAGGTATGGTGCTTGAACTGGTGGAGTTATTGAAGCAACAATTTTAACTTGTTGATCTTCCTTCTCCAAAGTTAGAGAGGGTGCTCTAAGTAAGTCATTCCAATGGAATGTAACAGTCTCTTGCACACTACTTCCTTTAAAACATGAGCCACCACGCTTGCGAATCTCAAATATGACTCCTTTGGTTCCAAACTCACAGTAGAGATGCCAAGCTTTTCGCCATGATGAATAGGGAAAGTCGGAGACGGGTTTTTCAAGCTTTAACTCCCTGTGACACCTCACCATTCGAAGACGAAGGACATTGCGTTTCATATCCTCTTGCATTTCCTTCATCTTATCCCTCAGCCTGACAAACACACAAACCTACATTGAGGTATCAAGGTACCATCAGTGTAATAAAACTGAGATTAAAACAGATGTCTTAACTTACTAATCTTTCTCTAGTTCCTTTTTAAGCTTTTGATGAACTTAAAATATAAAAGCACGAAAGAAGCATATTAAAAGTTCAGAGATGTAATTTGAGTGGAAGTTAATTACTGCAAAAGAAGAAGACAATTTCAAAGCACTGGTCAAACAGTCATAATCAGATTGAAAGATACACAACTGTTGGCATTCCTCTGTTTCTAAGTATAAGAAAATTCTTTCTTAATTTTCATAAAATTGCTATTTGTCATAATTTTCTTTCCTTTACTTTTTCATGAAAATTTCTCTAATGCATGCCCCACGGCCAGTCTTATCAATATATGCAAACCATCACTCACTTTGTGCCCAGAGGGGACTTTCATTGTGCTTATTTCACGAAGTGGAACTTTTGGTCCTCCATCTACCTCATAATTCCTTTAAGATAGGGTCGGCAAAGTTAGGTGTAAGAGAGAGACAGAGGAAGAGAATGCAAAAACTGACCTCAAGTAAGAATCTGGGGTGCATTGGCTTGTATTTCGTATTGACATCTGTGTCTGATACCTCCCAGTAAACTGTTGGCTTGAATGAGACACCTCCATCCAATTCCAAAGCTATTTCTCCACCAGCTTTCTCATACGGTTGATCAAACGTCCTCTCCCAAAGCTTCTTGGTCTCTTCCACCTCTTTTTCCTTGACAGTGGCCCACATGCTTACCACCTTCCCCAAATCACCTTCCATCTCTTTCAAATCTTTAGCATATACTGTTGGGTAACTCTGCTTCATATAAAACAGAGTGAGAAACCAAGAAGTAATTTAATCAAAAGTAACTGTAAAAACTCAATCCTTTAATTTTGGCCATAATAAAAATAACCCGAACCGCACCTGATGGGATAGCCACATGAGCATAATATCAGAGGCAGGCACCAAAGAAGAACACAAATCAATGGAGCTCTGCACCATGAACAAAAACCTCTTGTACCTCTGTCTTGCTGCTATCAAATACACAATTTCAGCCCTGTATGGCTCTGAAAATTTCGAATACAAAAATCTATTCTTTTTCACTTCCTCCAAAAGCTCTTCTTCATTGGCTTCTTCTGGAACCCTCACATCTGAATCAGAATAAACTTCATTCTCAAATGGCTCATTTGGGTACCTTCTGACCCATAATTCTCTGCACCTCATTAATGCGTACTCTTCGTTCTCATCGTCAAAAATAGTTGCTTTTCCTATCAATTTTGAGAACTTTGACTCACAGTATTGCCTGTAATAAACCTGACCGAAAAACCCAACAACCTTAAAATTTTACATAAATGAAAAATTCAAACTTCCCCAGCAACCAAACAAAACTTTATACGCAGCTTACCGGATTCAGAGTGTGACAGAACCAAACCCACTCAATGTCTATAGGAGGATGAATCGTAGGAGGAGTTGTTGACTCGACCGTCAGATCAGAAACCAACGGCATCCAAAGCTCATTGTACCTGCAAAACCAATCCAGAAATCTTTAACATCCACCGTCCGATCAGAATACTTCATCAAATGCTCAGAGCTAGAGTTGACCATGACCTTCGTATGGCTTCAATAACCGTTGGCTTCTGGTGAAGCCAATGAGACTCGGCCACAGTTCTCAGGAACCCGATATTTCGCCGAGCAGCCGATACGAGATCCAATCCGACTTTGAAGGTCTCCACTTCCGATATCTCGCTGTAACTTCTGCTGGACATGTTGCCGGGAATTTCTGAGCCGCCGCTGCTCAACGACATGTCGTGGTGAGAGGGAGAGCTCTGAGTCAGACACAGAGATCGTTGGAGTTTGGGCATTTAATAATGTCCGAGGAACAGAGAATGTAAGCATACGACAAAAGAAAATCAGTGGGTGTTTAAGTGGAAAGGTTGAGACAGGTGGCGAGTTAGATTTAAGTTTTCCAGGTGGGAGGTGTCGGAATCCAGAAGTAGAAGAGGATTTTCCCACCAATAAAAAATTAAAAAAGAAGAAGGGCTTGGATGATTCGGTAGCTTTATATCATTAGATAGGCATTAATTAGGATTAGGATTAGGGGATAATATTTTTTTTTTTTTTTTTTTTTTTTATTTTTTTTTTTTTTTGTTTTGGGAACGAGTGTGGTACAAGAAAAATGACTCAAGTCGTAGAGGATTAGGCAAATTCATCTACACATTAAGGTACAGACGTCGAACTAACTAGTAGTTTATTTTTTTTCCACTTAAAATAGTTAAGGAGAACCATAGGCTCTTGATAGATTAATTTAATTATGATTTTAAATTCGATTACAATCCAAGTAATTATATGTAACTGATTCAATATGTTTCAAAGACAAATCAAAAGAAGAAAAAAGTAAGTAAAATAACATGAGAAAAGGAATAATATCAACAAAATGTAAGCCTTGATGGACAAGGTGATAAATAATTAATGTTGCTAGCTTAGTTAGCATTATCTATATGCTTTCAATCTTGTTGCCTGGCTTAATTGAAACAATACTATTCACGTAAGGAACCGCTTGGATATTGGTTGGCTCTCCCAATCCATGGCGGGGGACATGCTTGAGCTTTTGTGTATCAAGGCTATAGTTTACCACATCCCCTTTAGTCGTAACCATAAGAAGCTCCTCATCTTTCCAAAACACCAATGGAGCCTCAACCCCTTTTTCCAGAGGTCCTATAGCCAAGTGCTTTGTCCACAAAGCCTTAGCACCTTTCAAGTCTTCATCCAAGACCCACAAGTCTAAGGTTTTAGGAGCTTCGTTTTCCACCGGGTAGGTCAAGAGAACCAGAGAGTCTTTCCACACTGCAATGCTTGTGTATTCATATGCATCTGGGCCACTCTCCGGAAGAGCTATGTCATGAAACACCTCCTCGCTCATGTCAAACGAAAGGATGACATTTCTTTCTTCCGTCCAGTACGCGATCCAGTAAAAGAATCCCTTAAAGTACATCTGGTAAGACGGGTTTAGAGAGCCATGAGGCTGGATGTCAACAGGGATCTCTCTCCAAGTATCGGCAGCCAAGCTGTAAACCTCTACTTTGGAGGGGTGCTGGGTAAAAACCCCAGAGACAAATTGTGCAGCTCGAACAACTTTGTAGTCTTTCGAGTTCGGATCGTACCCGAACCCCACACATTTCGGGTTCGATTCTATCTCATCGTCGTCGTCTTCTTCATAATAATCATCGTCTTCATTTTCTTCAAATTGACGTGGAACTCGTGGAGGCAAAAGAATGCAAGACTTGGGAAGAACTCTATACTCCTCGAGTGCTGGATTGCATAAAACAATGTCCTCGCTGTTAAAAGTATTGAGGCAGATGAGGCCATCACAAGACCCTGAAATTTCTAGGCTCAATGCGTATCCTCTCATAGGCGGCGGAACGACATGGTTCTCAATCTCAAGACCGTCGTCGACAAGCCTGCCGAGATTAAGTGAGGAGAGTAAAATGTCCCTTTGGTTACTGTCGGGGTTGAAGAGAGTAGCTCTAACTGCCTTCTCGTCGTCCTTAATGCTGGGGTCCGTGAGGACATTGTGCTTGAGGAGGACGTAAGTGGAGGAGGTGACTTTGTTGTCCATAGAAGTGGAAAGGTGCTGGTCCACGAAGCTAGGTTTATCGATTAGGTCATGCCACGACTTGAGGACGCATCTAAATCGCATCAGAGACTTGGGAGGCAGTCTCGACAGGATATTCCCCATCATATCTTCAGAAAATTTGCTCAACGTTGCCATTTCTCTCATCATCTGTTCTTGTTTCCTCTATACAATATATCTCACATCACACATGAACTAGTTTCATGTACTCTCTTGGTCTAGAAAATCAAATAGGAAAGAACAAATTAAGGGGAGTTGCATGAATCTTACAAGTACTGGACATGATGCATATGAGATGGAGAATGAGGTGCATGATGCATGCAAATGCGAGAAATGGGCAGAGAGAAAAGAGGAGGAGGAGGGCCCAATCATTGATTAATGTTGAGGCTGAGAGAGAAAGGAGGTGACAAACTCTCCACAACACAAGTCCATGTCCTTTCCCTCTCTTATCTCCTTTGAAAAGATCAAACATAAATTTACAGGAGGATGCTAGGAGAGATACGTACGTCACTAAATAATGTCTTTTTAATTGCTCAGGAAGCTTAGTTTAATTTACATATAAATTTAAAAGAAAGGATTGCCTATTTTTAGAAACCAATCATAGTTCTACAATTTTGTTAATATTATTTTTGTTTCCACATTTTGATCGTCTTATCAACTTCGCAAATGACCGGCCTATAAGATCATCCGAAAGAGCATATACATATTCAAACTCATTCATTAGGTTCATTCTTACTTGAATGAGAATTCTTTAATTTTGATGTTGTCATTGCAACTAAATGCAAATAATAATTGAAAGTTTACCTTCCTGCCACCATCAATTAGATTTGGACTGCACAACCTGATAAACAACTCTTTGTTAATTAGACGAATAAGCAATTAGAAATATTAATCTGGTTAGAATTTCAACATGATCCGATGACATAAATTTCTCCCACATGCTATCCACATCAGCCATGGTGAGAAACGACAACAAAACTAACAAACAACGACATGCATCTCCAGGAGATGTAAATGATAAAAGGGCTAACGACAAAAGACACCCTGCAAGTTTGGGGTGGTTCTCAATTTGTATTCCATTTATCACAAGAATCAAAAACACACATTTAAAAAAAAAGTGGCATCAAGTACTTAGCTTAATTCGCATATAAATTGAAAAGGGAGATATTAATTTAGACCAATCATAGTTCTTAATTATGTTACAATTATGTTAATATTAATTTTATTTGGCTAGTTATGTAGCTTAATTACAAATATAATCCTCTGCTTTTTTCTTTTTTTTGTTGTTGTTGTTACAAATCTTGTATTTGTGTTATTGTTTAATAAGACTTTATTTTATGATATGTTGGAAATATATTTAACTTTGAGCGCTGGTTTGATACGTCGGACTGAGTTCGAATCCTCCTCCCTTAGTTTAGATTAGATTAAATTAGAATATCGTTTGTATAATTAAACAAAAAAACAAAAAAAACAGAAAAACAAAAACTATGAGTATTTTGTTGGTCAACTAACACATCAAAATTTGTATAATTCATCTCATAACAACAAGCAGATAGCAAATCACTCCGGTAAAACAATATTACACTTCGATTGAAAAAACGACATTAACACATGTCACCGAACAGAGCACCAACAAAGGAAGATCTTACACTAGAACCGTCGAATATCTTTAGGAGGCTTGAAATTGAGAGGATGGGTTTCTGGAGTGGCATTTTGGTCCTTTTTCCACATTTTGATCGTCTTATCAGCTCCGCAAGTCACCAGCCTTGTACCAGTTACATCATAGGAAAGAGCATATACGGCAGCTTCACCATCCAGCGAGCCAGGCTGCGCAATTGTTTGCGATTGCTGAAAATTATGACCGCTCTTCCAATCCCAAAACCAGACACTCCCATTGTCACCTCCAGTTACCATGACACCATCCCGATTCACAGCCATTGCATTAACTATAGTTTTCTGCTGAGACAGCATGTTGTGCAAAAATTCGCCGTTCGGAAGGTTGAACTTCTTCACGTTGTCAGCGGATACCGATGCGAAAGAATTGATATCTTTAGGATGTTGCGCCATTGCACGCACAGATTTCTTATGGTGTGTAAGTGTTGACATTGTTTTCCCATACCTAAGGTCCCAGAGCTTGATGGTCGAGTCATGAGAGCCAGTGACAACTTGTGGATCTGTCGGTCGAGTGAAAACTGAGCAAACTGTGTCGTCATGCCCCGACAATGCAAAAACTTGCACCTTGCTTCGAATATCCCAAACCCGGCACACAGAATCGCGTCCACCGGTGAGTAAAATATCAAGCGTGGGATGAACCGCCAAGCAGTAAACACCGCTCAGATGACCATGATATGAACGGACAACCTTGTTCTGTTCGAGGTCCCAGCATTTAACTAGCTTGTCATCGCCGGCGGAGAACATGTAGGTGTGCCTGCTGCTAACAGCAAGTCCACGTACTTGTTCAATGTGTCCTGTCAGTGAGAGCTGTAGGGTGCCGGTTCCTACATCCCATATCTTGATCGTGCGATCTGCAGAGCCGGTGCAGAACCATTTGTTGCTTGGATCAAAGGCAATGGATCGTACCCATCCCAAGTGGCCGCTAATGACCCTGTACATCTTCCAAGGAGCATGCCAAACAGGACGTGGCCATCTGCCTGGAGTTCTTTCCATTAAAGCCATCTCACTCGGAGCCCTAGTTGGAGAAGGCGAAGCGAGAGAGACAAGAAAGCCCTAGTTTCCAAATGTGATTTGCCTGCAAAAAGGAATGAATGGCTCCGTATTTATAAGATGCGAAGTTCCTATCATAAGTAGGAAAGCCTAAAGCCAAGTCCTTTTTGGTTGAGGAAGCCTTTTCCCTTCGGATTGGGCCTCAATTGAATAGTGATTAGTTAGACACAAAAATACAGTATTGGGTTTCTAACAATGGGCCCAGTTGTTGTCAACTACCCAGATCAAATTTGTAATTCATGCAAATCACTAGGGCCATAATGGGCAATTATGAAAATTTATGATTCCCTTCTTATATATCGGCTTAAACCCTATTGTTTCAGTCACCAGTTTGTGGCCGTCGCATACGCTCTTCTTCCGTCCTCCTCTTCCAGGAAAACCTAGGCGTCTTTCTTTAACCTTTTCTTCTCTAGTTCTTGATCGATTTTCTGATGTACTCTGTTTTCTTTCTTCCTGTTAAATTATCATTATTTATTAATTATGGTTTTGCAATGATGATGAATGATAATCCCAGCTCTATGAGACCTTTTGTGGTCCGGGAATAGGATAGATCCAATACATCTGAGCCCAGAAAAAACATTCTTTATCTATATTCTTCTTAATTTTTTTGATGTTTATGTTTAATCTGTGTTCCTGTGGTTTAGTTTCCATTTATTTTCAAAAACTTATGCTAATATTGATTATATCCGATTTTCTGATGTAGGGTTTACTTAGTTTTATTGCAATTTAGTTAGTATTATTATTTTTGCAATGAGGATAAATGTGAATCCCAGCTCATTATGAGACCTTTTGTGGTCCGGGAAAAGGCTCTATCCACATTCATCTGAGCTCACATAACATTCCCAATATTTTGTTTTACAAAAAGGCCAAGTTTATATTTGATGTTTATTTGTTCTTCCAGTATTGTTTTCTTTTGTCAATGAACTTTGAACGTGGAATTGACAAGAGTTATTTACACTAACACCCCTGTTTCTCGTGGAATATGAAGCTTACCATAAATTTCATAAATTTCTCTGAAAATAAGAAAGGAATGAGATAACAAGTAACAAATATATGCCACTTTAATTCTCAAATTCCACCATAAAAAACGAAAGTAGATGAATCGTATTCTACTACGAAAAGAAAAAGAAATGGGATCATTTTGTGTTCAGATTGTTCTATACTTCAAAGCCGTTGAGTCAGAGAGTTCAATTTTTGGCCTAATCTCAATACCCTCAACAATAAGTCCACCTTTAAGATGGGCACCCTTCACTTCTTTTAGACTCATCTTTACATCATTATTAGCACAGCCTTCATTGTAAAAGCTCCCTATTTCTACTTCCATCCACCCATCTTTGCGCTCACAGAGACCTCCTCCATGATCTCCTTCTAAAACCCTCCGTCTCGAAGCTCTGATCCGCTTCGAAAAATGTTCATGTTCTAAATCAGCAGCAGCAGCAGCCTGCTTCCTACTTTGATCATGGCGTGTGCTCAAGTAAACTGTACCTTGTGATTTGAAGTTGCCAACTTCAAGTGAAACCTCAGATGGGAAAGAGTCTAAGCCATACGCACGGTCAGCCAACTTGACAATAAGATAGGCCCCATAGACTGTTTTTGGTGACAGCATTTGAGTGTTCATTGTGCCACATATTTCCAGCCACCAAATGGTTCTGAGTTCAGCAACCTCTGCAAATCTGAATTGTTGTTTTCAAGATTAATAACATTTAAGCTTTATTGAAAGTGTAATTAAGGCTTAATTAGAGAATGCAAACCTTGATTCAACAAGAGGTCTCCAGGTCCAATACAGAGGATTGCATGCCCATGTAATTGAAACATCCCTTGCACTTAACATGTAACATTTTTTACTTGTCGACTTCTCTATTGAGAACATCTGTTGTTCATCAATCAGGAAAATAATTAATTGATCAAAATTTAACCATTCAATTAAAACCTTTTTGTGGTATAGCCTCCTAAAGCCACTAGTGCATCCGCAGGCAGTGGAACAAATATGAATTTTAGTTGACTGTATAATTCATATTTGATCCACCGCCTGTCAATGCAAAAGCATACTCTTTGAGGGTACATTTTCTATGCATTCTCTCTCCTTTTATTGCCAAAGGCTGCAAATGCAATAATAGTCAAATATTGGATCAATTTCTTGACCCTTATATATATTTTTGCATATATATGGTTAATATTTGAATCATATTATGCATAGGCAACCTTGAGGCATCACACAACGCTAACTTAAAAAGATTGAAAAGCAAAAACAAAAAAAACATATTCAAACTCATTCATTAGGTTCATTCTAACTTGAATGAGAATTCTTTAATTATGATGTTGTCATTTTAAAATCAAATTAAATGTAAATAATAATTGAAAGTTTACCTTCTTACCACCATCAATTAGATTTGGACTGCATAACCTGATAAACAACTCTTTGTTAGAGGAATAAGTTATTGGACATACTAATCTGGATAGAATTTCAGCACGGTCGGATGGGAGAAATTTCTCCCACACGCTATCCAAATCAGCCATGGTGCGAAGCGACCTCAATACTAATGAACAATGACATGCATCTCCGGGAGATGTAAATGATAAAATATGCGCAAAACAGTCTTCGGCCAAGTCATCCAAATTCATCTCTCAAAAGTTGTAATGTTCAAAAAGTTTGAGAAGAAGTGTAGGACACAGAGAGAGCAGGAACAATGGGAGTCTGGAAGATGTTTCAAGTTTTGTTTGACTGATGTGATAATGCATGCAGGGAAGCACCTACATTTATAGCAAGCTTAAGCTACTAAATTTGTAGCAAAGGGTGGCCAGTTCTGTCGTTAAGATGACAACATTTTCTTTTTGGGGCCTGGTCAATATCATGACAACATACAGTGAACATATTTTTGGTTCCAGTCGATATCATGACAACATTATGAAACTGAACATATCATGAGAGAACAATAAATGGCCGGTGCTGGCTATTGTGCACCCGGTTCGTTTTTTTTACCTAACTTTAGATTTTGTACTGTGTTGGGCTTTATGGGGATCCTTGTGTTAGCCTTTCTTTGCAATTTCTTAGGCCTATTGTGCACCATTATGCACTTACATGGTTTTGAAAGTAATATTGTTCAAAATTCAGCATCTTTATTTCGAATGTCTCATTTCTCAAGTTTATTAAATAAAATAAAAAAACAAAAGTACCGAGTATAGCCACGCGGCTATACTATTCAAATATATTATGTTTCATTTGTCTATTTTTTCCAGTGAACTTTCTTTTTAATTTATTGATACCCTCAGATGACATGTCTCGAGAAATACTTACCTGTATTGGAGTGTATATGGAAGTCCCTCGCGATGCTCTCAACCAAGATGGGATCTGCTGGTTTGTGGTTTTCAGCTTAGGCAACAATATATCACAGGGGTTAAAAAAATTGAATGTGAGTGTTTGATGTAGAATCTGACCACATGAAATGAAAGGAATAGAAATGAACTAGAAAACAGAGTTCAAATGGCCAAAATACAATTGTGCTACATATTGGGAACGAACCACTGTATCACTTATCAATTGTACATCTCTGTAAAGGAGGCAAACTGCAGCATTTAAGTTGAACGAATCTGGGACGATGAACCTGAACCGAAAGTGCATGATAATGTATTCAGAAATCATTCATATGCAACTTTGGAAACGTTCACACTTTTTCTTTTTCTTGTTTATAATCTCTCAGCCTATATTAATTAAGGTGAGATGAAACTATGAAAAATCGAAAAAGTTGGTAAACATCACATTACCAAAACCATAAACTCGATGTTGTTAAGTTGTTTACATGCAACTTGCAAGCAATGCTGGACATGATTTAATTTACATCGATATGCAGCATCAATCTCATCACGCCATGTACTTGTTTTATGCGCCAATTCTGTTATTTACAAAGTGAAACAAAATTTCTTCCATATGACTAAGTTCTGTTTCCCATCGATGCATCTAAGAAAAGAAAAATAGAGTCTGAGGCATTTGCTTTTGTTGGTTGATTGAGCAAAATGGTGCTTGTAATGCTGCTCCATGGGTTGTTATCTCCATCAGGAAGAGCAAGCAAACAGGTTGTCGCCGATTCCATCATAGAAAATTCCACCGATCTCATCATCACTACCAACCTGTGGCTGGTCCTTTGTTTCTTCTCCGTCAGTACTCTCATCCTCCGAGAAGTTTGAGTTCTTCTGAACCAACTCTCTGAATATTGATGATTGAAGTGCGGTGGGAGACGATGGCATATTCTGAGGCTCTGCGACTCTCTCTGATTCTTGAGTGGCTATTGGATCGTCTACTCTAGGCTTTAGCCATCTTATGTAAGAACTCAAGTCAAAGTTAGTCACAGCATTGATCCCTCTCTACTCAATTGCTGCAATGTCATAGACACGAGCTGCTGGTACCTACAATGGCAATGTGTAAAGCTACAGTATCACCGTTCGGCTATACTATTTTAAAAACAATAAAAAAATGGAGTCTCGCCGCCCGGCTATACTATTTACTAAAGGAAACCGGAACAGCGGTGTAAAATAGTATAGCCGGCCGGCTATACTTTAAAAAAAATTTGAAACCTGGGTATAGCCGTGCGGCTATACGATTTTTAATAGAAAAATAGAGGACTCTCGCTATTAGGCCCCCGCGTGTCAAAACAAGTCTGCTTTTTACAAAAAAATTTAAAAAGACAAGAGCATAGCCGGGCGGCGGTACTGTTTTCAAAAAAAAAAAAAAAAACCCCTCTAGCGATTAGGCGCCACGTGTCAAAAAGAGTATAGCCAGCAGGCTCCGGCTATACTATTTATGAAAAAAAAATGTAGTATAGCCTAAATACATTTTATTTAAAAGGTCTATACTATTTAATTAACAAAATAAGAAAAATGGACCCTCCAAGTTGCATTAGTTTGTACTTTATATATATTAATTTGCTAGTTTCAACATATCCAAAGTAGATATTAATAGGCCACTATATAATATTTTAATATAATTCTTATAACATATATTATTCTTATTTAATAATATGTGAGAATTATTTGTATAATATGTGAATTTGTGTATCTTACTGAAAATTTTGTAAAAAATATGTGTATTATTAAGCATTAGAAATACATACGTATATGTACAATACAACTATTGTACGTTTGCTTTATAAAAAATGGGAGATGTGTATAGAACATGAATATATTTATAAAATATTATAGCCGCTCATCTATAATATTTATTGAAGATAATTATTATTATTTTTAAAAGTAAAGCCGCCGGGCTATACTGTTTTTAAAAAAAATTTAGAAAAAAATCAAGTACGGCCGCACGACAAGTAGGGTGCATATGGTGCTTAATCATTTCTCATGTTCAGCACATGCACACAAAGAAATAAGAAAATTATGTCAAAATCTCTTGAAACTCATTTTTTCTTCTATCAAAGCTAAATAAATAAATAAAATCAGTGAAATGCCACGCAGTGTTAGGTTCGTCATCACCCCCTTTCAGAACATATCAGAGATTTCTTAACAATCTAAACAGAGATATCAACAAGACTCAAAAGTCATAACTCAGTACTGCTACCAAAATACAAGTTGCCGTCTACGCATAAATTCACAGAAAAGGTGCCCATGAACCACTATTCTCCAGCTATAGATCACTAAACTAACCTGAAGAAAATCACGCCTTCTGTTTTTATTAGCAGAATTGAAAACTAAAGACAGAACAAAACTTAAAAGTTTTTTTCATTGTCTTTGTTCACTATATATTGCTTTTTCATAGTATAAAATCTTTTTAGTCTCTCTTCCAAGTTACAAAGCAATCCTATTAACATAGCTGAGACCAATAATGCCACTCATAACTCTTAAAAATCAATTTAACTTGTCACATAGGAATACCTATGAAAACATTTAAACTTAATTCTTCATGTATGCCCTGAATAGAATAAAGCACATGCTTGCTAAAAAGTAAGACTCACAGCTCAATTCAGCATCCTATTCATTAATATCACTTGGTGCACTTACTACAAGACCACTTAGGTGTTTAGAACTCAATGGCTTGCAAAATAAAGAAAACTAGAGGATATCCATTCAGATATGAGCTCCGAAAATGAAAAAAGGGTTCTCTTTCAAGCAGAGAAAATGAAAAGCTGCACGCACCAATCCCATAGAAGATTTAGCTTGTAACCACTTTGATAATTTTTTGTACGATGATTTCTCGATGTCTAGCGTGATCCCGGAAGGCCCACAAGGCAAAACATGGTTTGACCAGTAAAAAACAAAAAAACAAATGAAGGAAATTTTTATAAATCAAATGTTTACACCAGAGAGAGAGAGAGAGAGAGAGAGATCATGCAGAACAAATATCACATATTTATCATACCAAAGTGTGCTTCCAAGAAGAAGTTGATGTCAGCTTCTTTCTGTCCATTCACACGCTGGTCCTGCTGCAGCAATAAGAATTTGATCACAATGTTAACTTGAATAATGTGGCCCTGCATCTACCATTGATTCACAATCTGCAGGAAACCAAGGTGCACAAATTAGACCTAAAAATTTGGGATGAAGTGGAGCAAGGCAAGGTCACTAAACCCTTCTCTGCCTTTTCAATGTCATGTAGCTTAAAACATGCATTTCGATAATTAAAGCCTTGTGTAATTCAAGGCACTGAGACCAGTTTGAAAATCAAAGGGAACTGTGCTATAGTACTATTAGCTACTATATTTTTTCACATCAGAACAATACTAAAATTAAAATTAAAAAAATCACTGCTCTTATCATCGGCCTCGAGGGTCTTGCCATCTGTTGGTACTAAGAAATGAAAGGCATCATTTATCTATCAAGTAATCGGCAAAACCATGTAGAAAAGATGAAATTTTTTACCATCTGTTTGTATGATGTTTTATTTAATTGGCCAATTTTGATGAGTAGAAATATTGAAAGAAAGTGTTCATTTGTAATTTCCCCCTGATATGTCCCCTAGTGAAATCAAAAGCAAATCCTCAAGACAAATCGAAGATTCAAAAATATATGATACCAACCTCAAGATCTCAATCTTTGGGGTCCGAGTTCTTTATCTCAATCCGGAAATTATCAACCCCCATACCTTCCGAAGCTGAAAGCAAATGCTCACCGGAAATGCTGCCATGTTTTCTCTATACTGGTAGAATTTCCAGGCAAAAAGAGAGAAGCCATAACAATAACCCAGAATAGTAAAATCCAACCCCTTTGACAATTGGCTATACGCGGGTATATTTTTATTTATTTTTAAATCGTATAGCCGCGCGGCTTTACTAGGGTATTTTTTTTAATAAAAAAAAGTATGGCCGCGCGGCGATACTTGTTTTGACACGTGGCCGTGCGGCTATACTCGGGTTTTATTTCTTAAATAGTAACGCCGCGTGGCTTTACTAGGGTTCTTTTTTCAAAATAGTATCGCCGCACGGCTATACAATTTATCTAGGAAAAATAAAAAGGGCCCAAGTATAGCCGATCGGCAATACTCGGGTTTTATTTTTTTAAATAGTATCGCTGCTCGGCTATACTTGTTTTCACACTAGGCGCTACATGTGTCGTTTTTTCCCAAAAATAGTATAGCCGAGTGGCATCACTTAGTTTTTTTTTAATAGTATAGCCGCGCGGCTATACTATTTATTGGAAAAATTAAATTCAAGAAGCTCACAGTATATCACACCAGTCCTATTCCCAACCCGTTACTTTCATTCAAAACCCAGAACAAATATAGCCGTGCGGCGAAGGTGAAGACTCTGTAAAAGTAAAGTTGAAGAATTGTTGGCTTTTGGCGCCTTATCCCTCTTCCCACCGCATATCCATAACTTTGCACAAAACCATCTAAATTGAATTTGACCCATTAACGCTCATCCAAAGTTTCCACTTTGACTCTCAAATTTCTCATTACCCAGTTCAAGATTGCCTCTTTCTTCATCCATGGCTATGCCCCAAAACCTCAAACCCACTATCACACCATTCCTAACCTCCCCTTCAGTTTCATTCAAAACCCAGAACAGCTCACTCTTCTTTGGCACAATTACTTCAACAAGTGACAACTACAGAACCCAAACACCACCATTTTCATTCAAAACTCGCACTAACTCACAATTCTTCAGCACCAGAAGACTGTTCCTCCCTTCAGTTTCTGGCATCTGGGATGCCTTAACTAGCGGTAACAATGCCCGTGAAGCCGTTTCCGCGATTCGACATGGAATGGTACTCTTTAGGCAGGTAAAATCTGATCCTTGTTCCATCCAATGCTATTTTCTAAATTTCTCTTGACACCACACTTACATGTTCTCATAGTTTGGCATTAGAAGTTTACAACTTTATTGTTTGTTAAGGGTGATGTTTCAGGGTCTGTAGCAGAATTTGATAAGGCAGTTGAGTTGGATCCTCGCCAACAGGCATGTGAGTCTGATTGAGCTCTTGATAATTGCTTTTTTGGTGGTTTTTGGGATTTGAATTGTTGAATTAAGTTACGTAGTGTTGGCTATGGTTGTTATCAGATCTTTGGCAAAGGGGGCTATCGCTTTACTATCTCGATAGGTACTAGTTCTTTGTTGGTTCTCGTTTCCACATTATTTTTGTTAGGTACTGAAATAATTAAATGTAGACAAAATTAAAAAGTGTGTCACTATAGCCTTAGATCTGTCATTGGAATAAAATTAAAAATTATGGATTCCTTTCTACAGGAAATCATGAGGATAAAATGTTAAATTTCAATTCGTTAAGGTGCATGTCAAGGACTAAGCTTGGTATCTTTATGCACAGGTTTGAAGAAGGGGCAGAGCAGTTCCGATTAGATGTTGCCCAGAATCCAAATGATACAGAGGAGTCCATTTGGTGCTTTCTATGTGAAGCTCAATTATATGGGACTAGTGAAGCAAGGGAACGATTTCTTGAGGCAAGTTAGTGACACCAAGGACACTGTCATTTCTTATAGGAAGGTTTCTGATCCAGAAAGTTTTTATTTTATTTATCTGAGGAAGATTATGGATGAAGCTAAACCAGGCTTTGAGCTTTAACTTTGAGCCAGTGACTTTTGGCCATCTATAGGAGCATAACCAAGTAAATTTATGAGTCAATGTGTAATTCTAGCTGACACTTTTTAAAGTGCTTTTTACTCCCACGTATTGAGTGAAAAGTTGAATAAAGTTCTTCTAACTACATACTAGATGAATGCAGGTTGGCCAAGATCCGAGACCTGTTATGCGAAACGCCTATAACATGTTTAAAGATGGTGGTGATCCGGAAAAGGTGTTGACTGGGAAATTTCTTCTTTGACCAAACATTTCATATTTGAGCTAGCTAGTTGTGTAGTTCATAAGGTTAGAAAGGCATCTCATGTATGTGCATCTCCCAATATATATTCTCATGTCTCTCTAGGTGTGCTTATTGGATGGCTTTTATCAGTTTATATGAGATGTTGAGAATGCAGCTCTCTTTTGCTTCATGCTTTCTGTGGAATACTCATGCCTTCGGACCATTTTACGGGACTGAATGTTTTAATGGTCTTCAGATAATTTTCTGTTTCTAATATAGGCCTGTATAGTTGCACTAGCACCAAGAATTTCCTCTGACATGAGTGATTGTTCTTATTGCCTAGCTTGTTGCAGCATTTTCGAAAAGCCGAGAGAGTGATTACTTCTATGCTTCTTTATATGCTGGGCTTTATTATGAAAGTCAGGTTTGTTTTAAACTATAATATCTTTCTTTTAGATGCTCTTTTGGTGTCACATGTTGTATGTCAAATGTTCTTTAAATTTGATACTTTTGATTAATAACTGATGCTGAGAAATTGCTGGCTGAACTTATAGCTTGAAACTAATTGCCTATGTCTAGACAATTGATGACTTGCCATTTTTCACCTATGCAGAAGAAAACTGATGCAGCCGAACTTCATATCGTTGCTGCATATCAGTCTCCTTATGGACAAAGGTTTGGAGTAAAAACTAATTTTTAAGTAAATCAGTTGAGTAACCATTCAACAACGTAAAATCTAATTTCCTTGCTCTTGTCAGATCTGATGACTACATGGCTTCTCTAGCCAAAGTTCATTGTCTTTGTCGAAAGTGGAGTTTGAATTGAAGTATTTGGCTCAAGCTCAGTCAATCTTATGTTCAAGTTGGTTTATCATGTGTTCTGATGCTCATATTATTGTAAGGCAACGTTGTTCAGTTGAAGTGGGTGCAGGGGCAACCTAAATATTGTTGAAGAGTGTGAAGTCCGCATCGGAAACTTGACAATTTATATATACTTAATAATTCCAGTACTAGTAATACCGAGACTTTATGTGTTAAAATCCACACCTACTGAGCTTTGAGTTGGGGACAAATGTCTGTTGTACCAAGTTGTGTCCAACTTGTCCAATATTCATAGCTAAACGATCACATGAGCCTGTGCCATTGCTAATCAAAGTTAAATGATGCAATTACCACACAATTGTTAAGTCAACCTTGCAATTTTTTTTCTTTGTCAGTTATCATTTAAAGCTACACAATCTAGCCGTGCACGACAGAGTGTGGGACATAATTTATGAACGTTACTTTTCTTCTAAGGATTATCTTTTTAGTGGGTGGAATAATAGAATCTCCAACAGCAACCCTCGTGCCTTATTTTATTAATTATATAGTTAATTTAATCTCTCAGAGAAATGCATAATTAATGAGTGTGCCCGCTATAAACCCTTTTCAGCATATTCGCAGAGGTAAGCACAAAAAATATGAATATTCTTTTCAAGTGATCCTTCCACGGGGATATGCCGTATGCAACTGCAAATTGTACTCTCTTCATGACAATATTAAATGACCAAAATGTCCTCAACTTCATTCATGAAAATGGATTTTTAAGGAATGAGGTTATAATGAAGCCAAAATGTTTAAGGGGTATTTTTGGCAATGTAACGTATAACATGTCCATAATTTCTATATAGATTACAAATATCATACCCATACAAATAGGATATAATTTCAATTAGTTTTTACTATTTTCCTTTCTTAAAGAAAATATTAATTTCGACCCTCCTTGTGACCACTAAACTTACCCGAAACTTCATGCTATCTACTTTACCTCCTGCCACGTGTAATTACACAATAGTCTATACCTCAGGACGACACGTGTTGTTAAAATATCTAAACTACATGAAAAATCCATGTCGCTACGGGTCACCCAGGGCCGCCTTCTTCAATTTCCCGGTATGAAAACACATGAAACGCCGGGACTTCTGTAAACTATAAAAACCGCTTCCTTTCTTCTCTGTCAAAGCTTTTCTCTCTTAATTTCTTTCTTTTGGGTTTTCGTAAAAAACCGAAAGTCACTCACTTTCTCTGGTTTTCAAGGATATGCAAGAGCTGAGTTTATTGGGATTTCAAGCAAAAGAATTAGCTGATGTCGTCGGAGAAGCTCATTGCAAATGGTGCGGTACAATCCGAGGCAATGAATATGAATGCGGCATCTTTCTCCTTCACGCCGATTTTCGAAGAGTTGCCGGTGGCCACCATTGTATCGGTGTCGCGGCCCGATACCGGAGATATCAGCCCCATGCTTCTGTCTTACACCATTGAGTTTCAATACAAACAGGCATGCTCTCTCTTTCTCTGTATATGTATCTCTGTTTACTGCTTAGGATGATTGTTTTTTTTTTGTTTTTTTTGTTTTTTGTTTTTTTAATAAAAAATTTTAGAAGGTCATCCAGCTACTGGTTTTCAATTGCAGACTGACGTTGAATTTAGATAACTGTTTTGGGTACTTCATTGATGAATTTCCAATTTTGTCTTGTGACAATTCACAAACTCTTAACTGGCCAGATGGTTTCGAAATGTCGTTATGCCATGCTAAAAGGTTTGTTTTGTATTCCTCTTCAACAGTTCAAGTGGCGGCTGCTGAAGAAAGCATCACAAGTTCTCTATTTACATTTTGCTTTGAGGAAGCGTGCAATAATTGAGGAGTTTCATGAGAAACAAGAGCAGGTTTGCCAATTGTATTTGATATCGTTGGGACTTTTCTTATCTGTATTTGGCCTAATCTTTGTATAATTTTCATGGGAACTTTGCAAGAAAGGTTAAAGAATGGCTTCATAGCATAGGAATGGTAGATCAGACGGCAGTAGTGCAAGATGATGATGAACCGGATGATGGGGCTGTTCCTGTACATAATGAAGAAAGTGTTAGAAACAGGTGATTTCTGACTTCATAGTGCTTGGTCCAAATTTAGGTCTTAACACCATAGTACTTATGATTTTCTGAATTTGGTTGCGATGCAGATACGTTCCGTCTCGTGCTGCTTTGCCCATCCTCCGTCCAGCACTAGGAGGGCAGCAATCCATTTCGGACAGAGCAAAGGTGGCAATGCAGGGTTATTTGAATCATTTTCTGGGAAACATGGATCTAGTAAATTCTCGAGAGGTGTGTGAACTCCATTTTTATTAGTACTGTCATTTGTTGGTACTCATTTTCAGATTTATTACAAGAAGTGGTTTCGAATTGTAGGTCTGCAAATTTTTGGAGGTCTCGAAGCTCTCCTTTTCACAGGAGTATGGACCAAAGCTGAAAGAAGGTTATGTAATGGTGAAGCATCTACCAAAAATTGCAGGGGCTGATTCTGATGTGAACCCTTTTGCATCCCATTGTCTTGGTTTCTGTAGCAACAACTGGCAAAAGGTTTTGTCAATGACCTTTTATTCCTTTGCTTGTTTATTTCCGTATAATCAAACTATGTTTGCTTATAATTTGTCTAATTCTTTGTAGGGAATGGTATTTTGTATTATCGTGTTTTTCTTTGTCCAATTGCAGGTGTGGGCTGTTTTAAAGCCTGGGTTCCTGGCCTTACTAGAGGATCCTTTTGACACTGAACTTTTAGACATAATCGTTTTCAATGTACTGCCAACATCAAATGAAAATGCATGCTCACAAATATATTTGGCTAATCAAATAAAGGAACGCAATCCTTTACGTTATACATTAAGGGTGAGCTGTTGTTTTAATTTACTTTTATATTGGTTACACATGGCTTGTTTATTATGAGGATAGCTTCAAATCTATTAGATACACTTTTATGTGCTTTGAGTATTTTAAGCTTAATTCCTTATTATATGAGTGTTTGATGTTTTCCTATTTAAAACAGCTATTGTATAGTTCTATTCAATCTCTGACGACCACATTGATTTGTAAATGTCTAAAGGTTGCTTCTGGAAATCAAAGCTTAAGGTTAAGAACCACTAGCAATGCTAAAGTCAAAGATTGGGTTGGTGCAATTAATGATGCTGGTTTAAGGCCTCATGAAGGTTGGTGTCATCCTCATCGCTTTGGTTCCTTTGCTCCTCCAAGGGGTTTGACTGATGATGGGAGTCAAGCTCAATGGTTTGTAGATGGCCAAGCAGCATTTGAAGCTATTGCTTCTTCTGTTGAAGCTGCAAAATCAGAGGTTTGTTTCTTGCATTGTTCACACCATTTAAAGTGCATTTCTAGTGATTATACGACTCAACATAGAATGTTTGCTTCCAGATATTCATCACTGGCTGGTGGCTTTGCCCAGAACTGTATCTAAGACGTCCTTTTCATAGTAATTCATCTTCTCGGCTTGATGCATTACTATATGAAAAGGCTAGACAAGGAGTTCAGGTGCAAACACTCATTCTCTCTCATTGTTGGTATTTACTTGTTTTAGTTAGGTGGTAATTTGACATTTATGTCTGGGATCTTTAACTCCACTAATGATTTATATGCAGATTTACATTCTTCTCTACAAGGAGGTTGCTCTTGCTTTAAAGATCAACAGTTCATACAGTAAGAAATTGCTTTCTAACATTCATGAGAATGTGAGAGTATTGCGCTATCCTGACCGTTTTCCTACAGGCATTTATTTGTGGTATGCTCCTTCTGGATTGATTCATCTTAGTTATTTTATCTCATGTCAAGATTGAATTAAAAAAACTCTCCAAGTTTATTTGATTAACTTGCTTTTGGTTTGCTTTCATGATAATGCTCCATAAATTACCTACGAAAACGTACAGGTCACATCATGAAAAACTTGTCATTGTTGATTACCAGATTTGCTTCATTGGAGGACTCGATTTGTGCTTCGGCCGCTATGACACGGTTGAACACAAAGTGGGTGACTGCCCTCCTCATATATGGCCAGGAAAGGACTACTATAACCCAAGGTATTTCTCTCTTTTTTTTATTTTATTTTTATTTTTTACCAGTATAGTTTTCTAGACCAAAGGGGATATCAAATATGTCATTGTCGCTTCATTCAGAGAATCCGAACCAAATTCTTGGGAAGACACAATGAAAGATGAATTGGAGCGTGAAAGATATCCGCGTATGCCGTGGCATGATGTCCAATGTGCCCTTTGGGGACCTCCCTGTCGTGACGTTGCCAGGCATTTTGTTCAGCGCTGGAACCATGCTAAGGTTGATTTTCTGCTACTGCTGGTCTTGTGGAGAAATTTTCTATTTTAAGAAAGTAAATTTACTAACTTAATGAACCATCTTGTAGAGAAACAAAGCTCCAAATGAACAAACAATTCCACTACTTATGCCTCAACACCACATGGTCATCCCTCATTACATGGGAAGAAGTAGAGAGATAGACGTTGAAAAGAAAAACAAAGAAGAAACCCCGAACGCCTTTTCTCCGCTATCACCGTTGCAGGATATTCCCTTGCTTTTGCCTCAAGAAGCTGATGGTTTAGATGCTCCTATTGTACACAAAAAGCCAAGCGCCCTGGACTTGAACCATAATCTTCTTTACCAGCCAACCGATGGTTTATACGCAGATATGCAGATGGAAGGTTTTGTAGATGACCTTCATTCTATGGATCTCAAAAGTGAAACAAATTTAAATATGGTGGCACAATCTGGCCTGACAACTTCAAATGAAGGGTTGGAAAGTCCAGAGGAACATGATCATGCTGTTGCTGCTGATGATTATGGACAAATAGGTCCTCGTACTGCATGCCATTGTCAGGTTAAGGCTGTCTCTTGGATACTGTGAATTTAGTTTTTTAAAATTTCAAGATTTACTACGTGTTTATATAGTTCTACTAATAAATATGCAATGTTTAGGTTGTCAGAAGTGTGAGCCAGTGGTCTGCTGGATCTAGTCAGGCTGAAGATAGCATACACAAAGCTTATTGTTCTCTCATTGAGAAAGCAGAACATTTTGTCTATATTGAGGTTTCACCGTTGTCTCTGGAGCATTCTGATTTTCATAGTAATAATATAACATCCTGCTTTGAAAAACATGCCTCTAGTCACCTAGATGCTGTTCAAAGTACTGATTTTTGGTGCTTATGCTGATCATTTTGCTATTTCCTTTGCTGTTTGCTTCCAGAATCAATTCTTCATATCAGGTCTTTCAGGGGATGAGATTATACAGAATCGTGTCCTGGAAGCGTTGTACAGGCGTATTAAGCTAGCACACAAAGAACAAAAGTGTTTTAGGGTGATCGTTGTCATACCACTCTTACCTGGCTTTCAGGTACCCATTGGTTTATTTTCTTAATTTTATCAAGCATGTCCTTTCGCTGTGAATTTTGGTAACAGTGTTTTCCTTTTCTTTTAATTCTGGATACAAATAATAGGGTGGTGTGGACGATGGTGGTGCAGCTACTGTTAGAGCCCTAATGCATTGGCAGTATCGAACCATTAGCTGGGAAAAACATTCAATACTGCATAATCTAAAAGTTTTGCTTGGTCCCAAGACACATGATTACATTTCTTTCTATGGTCTGAGGTCGTATGGCAGACTTTTCGAAGGTGGTCCTGTGTGCACAAGTCAGGTACTTTTCTGCATTAAAATGAACTTCAATTTTGGCCCATGAAACCTTCACTTGTTTTTATCATCTATTCTCCTTGTTATTCAGGTTTATGTACACAGCAAAGTGATGATCATAGATGATTGTGTTGCCTTGATCGGATCGTCTAATATTAACGACAGAAGTCTGCTTGGATCAAGAGACTCTGAGGTATAATCTGTCTTTTTTAAGCAATAAGCTTTTCAGCATGTTTAATCCATTTCGTTGGTTCTTTTTCAAGCCGCTTCTACTTTGTAGTTGTACTTAGATAATTGTAGTTTTCCTGAAGTTTGGATAAAAAGAAATCCTGCAGAAGCATTACCAATGGACTCTGTTATATATTTGTTGCAGATTGGTGTAGTAATTGAAGATAAAGAGTTTCTTGAATCATCTATGAATGGACAGCCTTGGAAGGCCGGAAAATTTGCTTATAGTCTTAGGTGCTCTCTGTGGTCTGAGCACCTGGGTCTTCATGCAGGGGAGGTTGGTAACCTTGACGAAACATAAGATATTCTTTGCTTGCTTCTTTTCACTTTTGACAGAAAGTAGGAAAACTTAAAGAGCCTGCCTCTGGATACAAATTCAGGGTCATTTTTTTCACTAATTTTTCTTTAATTTTTCATCTATATTTTCCTCAGTTAAATATTTAATATTAACATTGTTTTGTTGAATCTGAATTCCTTCAGATAAATCAAATCAGTGATCCTGTATCAGACACAACATACAAATATCTGTGGTTAGCAACTGCAAAGGTGATGAAAGTTTGCAATTTCGATCACTATTTCATGTTTCTCACGTTTAGCCTTTTTTCCTTTTCATCTCTGCTCCCTTACTTAATTTTCAGTATCTCTTATATTTTACAGGAAAATTCAACTATTTACCAAGATGTCTTTTCTTGTATTCCGAATGATTCTATACACTCAAGGTACAATACTACTCAAGGTTTTGTATTTTTGTATTTTTGCTCTATGCACTCTAAAAATCTCCATCTTTGCCATCAACTACAGAGCTGCTCTCAGACAATGCGTGGCTCATCAGAAAGAGAAACTTGGGCACACCACAATTGATTTGGGGATAGCCCCTGAGAAGATACAGTCCTGTGAGAATGGTGCGGTGAAAGAAACAGATCCAATGGAAAGATTGAAGCATGTAAGGGGACATCTTGTTTCCTTCCCTTTAAAGTTTATGCAACAAGAAGATTTGAGACCAGTGTTCAATGAAAGTGAATTTTATACATCCCCTCAAGTTTTTCGTTAGGTATGATTCCATTAAGGCCAGGAGGCACAAGAAAAAAAATGTAAAAATAGATGTATATAAATAGTACATAATTCCATTTGTTTACATACAATTGTACATAATTCCACACAAAGATTGAGAGATATATTAGCAATAGAGAAGCACCAATGCTGACCAAATTCATGCCACTAAACTTATTTAGAATATGTTGGCGTTGATGGATTTACCGTACAGGACTAATTGCTAGAGTTGTAAATATGTTACATTTCTTTTTTTCTTCTTTTTTTCTTTTTTCTTTTTTTGTAACTAAATTTTGTTTTTTTCTATTATGAATCATTTTATAAGTAAATGAAGAAAATACCAGTCAATGATTTTCATTGAAAGCATTATCACCGGCATAATAATAACTACACTTCTCTTCCTTCGGGTGATGTTTAGAACTCGAGCTTTGGAACAGATGCTAAATGACTGGATATAAGAAAAACTGTTAAACTGTGTGCATAATTCTACCTCATAGCATTTGCTACATAGTCTATTCAAACTGCGTCAAGTGCTTTAGTTTTGTGGAATTTTGTATTCAGGTCTCAGTCTACCGTCTACCGGTTGCATAGGTCCTCAAAGAAGGGGAATGCGTGAGACCATTAGGAGAAACTGTTGTATTTTGGTTTCCATTCTTCTGTTGCATTCTTCTCCTTGCCATGTAGCCTCTAATCCACGGCGTCACATCCTCACTGAACTTGATCATGATAAAGAAGATGATCCGGTAGACGATAATCATGCTCAAGATGACACTGAGGTCTATCCATTTTGATCTGGTGGTGTCAATCTGGAACACATTTTCCAGAATGTACTCACCAGGTATCTTAGGAAGATCTGGTGACTGGTTGTCGAAAACTAAGCCGCTCAGGTCATTCTGATATTGCCCCTGAAGGTGAAACATGTTTCATATTCATAAATTTTTGTGTGGCTTATTTCATCGATAAGTAATTCTTAAACAGAAACTGTTGAAGGGTTTTACCTGTAAAGCCCAGAAGTGGAAGCTGATGTAGACATAGGGTAACGCCAGACGGGCTTTGGGATGTCATTTGGGAGCCTGAAGTACCCAGAGACTAGCATGAAGATACCCTGACGTGAAGAAAACCATACAATTCATCAATCATATATACAAGACATGAAAATGGCTAAAGTACTGATTTACTATCAAGCAGTGGATGAGTCTTCTGTGATACAAACCTGAATTCCAGCCCCTATGATAATGCCCATGAGGAAGTTGGGGACGATACTGGCTATGGCCATCATCAAACTCTCAACTACAGTGACACTTGCATAAAGGCACAGCACAAAGAATAGATAATGCTTGAAGCCAGGGTGGAGACGGACCATGTAGTAACAAACTGTTCCTGCGAGAAAGGTGATCAGTATCAGGAATGGCATTGCAGAGAGTGTGTTGCTGATGACAAATGCAGTGACACCATAGTGGCCATTCAGCCTCTCTCTTTGGAAAACCTGGGAAAGTTGTGGTACAAAGTCAGACTAAATATCATTTTAAGTAAATATTTAGAGCAATTTGTTCCTTGGGACTATGGAACATACCTTCATATCCTCTACGAATGAAGGAAACCCACCGATTGACATGAACGTGACAAAACCAAATACAAAAGATGCACATGAACCCCTCGCCTGTTTCATAAAATAAAACAGAGAGAAAAAGTGTTAGTGCATGAATGAACTTCCAAATAGACGGTACTAATTAGCAAGCAATACATACCAGAATCGAATTGTAACCCGTTCCCACATTCAAATAGATGGTTCCAATACAGACTGTGACAACAATGTAAATAACGAGCCTGAGCCAGTAATAGCCAAAGTCCCTTGACATGTTGATAAATGAACGCTTGGACAATGTGAAGGCCTGCATCAAGAAACTAGCCTGACTTCCTCCAGAATCTAGCACAGTTCCTTTCTGCATCATATGGGAAAAAAATTCATATTGTCGTTAAACTCCGTTACCAATAAGTAATTGGATAAATGAAAAATTATTTAATACATCCCACTTTATATAAACACTCACAACTTTGGATATCTCCTCAACTTTTTCTCTAGCTGCATAAGAGTATTGAGAAGTCCGAAAGGAGTCTATAAGAACTCTTATAGCTTCAGCAGTGGTAATCTTCTCCAGAGGATCATCACTTGCCTCAACCTGATAATGACAAAAGACAAGTTTTGGATTTTATCAGAGTTCAAAATTATTGCTTCAAAGTGCAAAAAGAGGACAGCAAAAACACCAAACCGATAATTTTACCATCAATTACACAAGAAAAAAGAGGTTCGACCTCAAATTTGTTCCTTTTTAAGTTTTAAGGATTTCCCTTCATAGGAATAGTATGATTATTACTTTATCATAGGATGGACGATATGTATGAAGGTCTAACCACTATCAATTGCTTAACAATAACATTTGAAGTTACATAACAGAGAGATATAAAAGAAAAAGTTTCTAAACATACCCTGAGTTTCATGGACCCTTTCAATGTGGCCTTTACTTTATCGAAGTCAGAGTTTACGCATCTAAGAAAATGATCAGAAGGGTTCCTCAAAGCCGGGCAGGGAAATCCAGCTTGTGCAAAGAACTGAAAACACCAACCAATGGACGTAAGAGCTCCATTATATTTACATAAAATCAACTAATATATGTATATCACGCAAAGACTAAGGGTTCTTGCCTCGTATGCATCCGATGCCTGACCAAAATAAACAGTTTTGCCACTAGAAAGCAAGTACAATTGATCAAATAGTTCAAAGACTTCACTACTTGGCTGGTGAATTGAGGCTATGACAGTCCTCCCGTCTCGTGCTAGGGCACGTAGTGTCTGAGTCACGAAAAATGCCGAAGCACTGCCACAAAAAAAACCAAATGATCATTAAGAATTAACCCTACAACAGAATAATGCAGGGTACTTGAAACCAATTAACTAGAAGTCATACTTTTTTAATAGAAGTGGAAGTTAAACTCACAAGAACATTCAATTTCAATAACAACATAAAGACAAGGAACTAGACAGAATGAAAACAAGACCACATATACCTATCAAGTCCACTGGTTGGCTCATCAAGGAAGAGCAGTCTAGGCCTCGTCAAGATTTCAAGAGCAATGCTGACCCTTCTCTTCTCTCCCCCACTGATCCCACGCAAATGCCAATTTCCAATAACTGTGTCTGCGCAATCCTGCAAACCCATCTCTATGATTGTACTCTCAATCAGCGCTCTCTTTTTTGACCAAGACATCTTATCGGGCAGCCTTAATCTAGCTGAATACGAAATGGTTTCTCGTACCGTTAAGGTTCCAATCAAATTGTCATCTTGGGTCACATAGGCCTGATTAATTTGCAAAACATCCATGCAAACAACATCAATATGTTACATGTACAATTATAGCCTGCCTACCTAGCTTGATCAAACATAATATTAATTTGAAATAAACAATCCCAAAATCAAGTGAAAAAAATGGTGATGAGCACAATTCACAGAAAAACATAATTAAAAACAAAAAAAGAAACAGATATTATTACTCACAGCAGTGCCAAAAGAAAGCTTTCTTTTGCGGCCATTGAGAAGGATGGTGCCAGAGAGGAAAGCATTGGCCGCCAAGCGACTAGAGAGAGCGTCAAGTAAAGTTGATTTGCCAGAACCAGAAGGACCCATGAGAGCTGTGAAGGTTCCAGGTTCAGCATAACCAGTTAGACCCTCCAACACTTTCTGTGTCTCACCTTTGCTCAGAGTCACCGTCACCGTCAGATCCTTCCAAGTAAGCCTGGCAGAAACATCCCCTACAATTTCAAGACTGGCCTTCTCCCTCCACAAAGTCTCACTCAGAGGGCTCAACCCACCTGCTACAACCCCATGCCCTGAGGGTTTGCTCGCCTCTATCTCCATCATAGAATGACCTGCTGCTGAGTTCCTTGTATTCTCTGTTTCATGTGCCATTGTTAATTTCTAGCAAGCTAGCTTAGCTTAGCTTAGCTTAGCTTAGCTTAGCTAGCTTGAAATGATCCAATTAGTCCTTCAAAAAATAGAGGTTCTGAAGCAATGAATTCTGATATTAGAAACAACCCAGAAGAGCTTGCTGCCTGTGTTTATGAAGGAAGATGAGGAAACAAAGATGTGAATGAAGAAATGAGAACTGCGTGAGTTTGACTGACAGGTTACAAAGAAGAAAAATTTCCCATGCAAAAAGAGCCTCAAAGCAAGGGACTTTAACTAACTGGAATCTTTTGGTCTCACAATAAAATTATTTCCTGCTTTCCATTTCTGCAAGAGAGTTTGAATCTGAAACGAACCCAAATTCCAACATGAAGCAAGAAAGATGATATAGAGAGAATTTGATCTATACAGCTATCTTCTATCCAACAATTAATGGGTTTTGGTACATATGTTGGTAGGAGCATTTAATGCATTAACTAATACCAGAACCGACCCTTATATTAACATTTGGCACATTCCTTCGCTCATAAATTTTTTGTGTGCATGTAAAATAATCCTGAGCATTGAAAAGGAAACAATGAACAATCGACTTAACGATTAATATCTAATACAAGTGGGTTAACGTAGGCATGGGCATATGTGATAATGTGATAATGTGAATGTCAATTTCACCGCCCTATTGGTGCTCCGTTTACAAGTCACAAGCTTTTATGAGCATATCAACTCATTCAGCTGTCAACTACCTGAAGGGCTCGTCATGGGCACCCCTATTTTGGACCTCTTCGACCCCAGTCTATTCAATTCAAACTTTGCTATTCCAATTCCAAACTACTTCAGTGGTTGGGGGACTTGGGCTTAATTCCTCGTCCTGCTTATTGGCTCTCAAACTTTTCTTGGTTTTTCCTTTTGACTTTCTAGCCACACATTTTGACTCTTTTCTACTGGTGTTAGGGAACTTTTAGAACGTCCGAAGATGATGTTAGTTTTTCTCAGTAACACTTTCTTATGAGGTACCATTTTAATTTCATAAAGTTATAGGAACGTGGAACACAAAGGAAGTAGTTCACGATTTCAATTATAGATGGGCCAACCAAAACCCAATCCTCGGGCCCAACGAACATTATTTGGGCTGGGTGTATTGAGTAAAAGTTTAGTAAGCACAAAGGTAGACAAGGCCGAAGGTAGACAAGGCGGGTGCCATATTCGAATAATCATCCGTTTCCATCTGTTCATTAGCATCCTCTTATACTGAAGGCGAGGAAAGCCTCCGTCTTTGAAATCAACCGCGGATAAATTTAAGGTACGTGACGTAGATATCAGGTTCTTGCTATCGCCAAAAGTTTCAATCTTTTTTGGTAAATTTTTGAATTTGGGTATGCGGGTATGCGTAGTTTGCTAATTTCTATCATTCCATAACTGCATTTTATGTTTATGTCAATTGGGTGAATGGATTGAAGGAGAATCATATGAGTCTTCATCTGCTTTAGTTTGAATTGTGAATTTTAGAGATGGGTTTTCTGTTAAGTTGTCCTTGCCGTCATGATTTTTTCCCCTGAATTGTGCATTATAACTCATTTGAGAGTTTGGGGAATTGATTCTCAGTTTGTTACACTTGAAGTTCTACGATGGGGGCATCGTTTCAATTTTTTTGTTCTGTATTGGGTGGTTGGTTTGAACTTTGAAGTGTAAATATAAGCTTTCTGCTCTTGTTCGAAAAATCGGCCTAGGCGGAGTCTAGGCGGTAGGCGGCCGTCCGAGTTATATTGTCTTGTTCAATTTTTTTGATAGGTTGTTAAATTGTTAAAAGGTCCAAGTTATAGTTAAAATGGCAGGTCCTTACTGGGTTTCATACACTGCCTCACTAATTTATTGTAATTAATCTCTCTTTGTGACTGAGATTGCAATAGACATATTCCTTCCCATCACATTCATTTTAGTACTTTTTGGTAATTAATTGCATGCAGTCCTCAGACTCCAGGAGAGATTTGGATGCTATTTTAGGGTGTGAGAGTTTACCCTGATGGCATCATCTGAAATAAAATCTGGGGCATTGGTTTCATTGCAAGACCTACATCCATCTTCCCCTTATTTCAAGCAAGGGGCTTCGTTGAGAGTAACTGGAAAGTAAGACTTCTGCCCTTTCAATGCTTAGTGTTCTCATTCAATTGCATTATATTAAATATCCAGAGTCTTTCTTCTTCTACTTACGTTTCAGTAGGGTACAAGTAGTTTAGAGTTTAGGCTGGCATTGTTGGTCTTGGTGACAGTGTTGGCATCATAACTGGTTAAGACTGGTGCAGACGAGTGGTAGAAAGAAAGATGAACTAGAGGTGGAATTGCTCATACAGACATTGGAGATGTGATAGTTTCAGCATTTCGGGTGATGTCACGGTATTTCTCGAAATGATTGTACTCTGGTTTTGGTTCAGTGAGAATATCATGATCATGGTATAGTGTTGGAGTGGATGCAGAACTGGCCAAAAAGTTATTCGGGGGGCAAATGTGGCATCTCCAGTTGGTGGCATTAAGGATGATGGCTATGGTGGATGGATTGAGTGTAATGATTGGAAACATGTCACTAATACAAAAAACAATTGGGAATAGGTCAACTGATTCAAATAATTGTGGATTGTCTTACACAAGAGGGCTGAATGATTGCTTCATTGAATTTAATTGCATTTCTCATATTTATTCCCCAATATCATTAAGAAGCATAGTCATTAGTATCTCTTGTTTCTTTCTCAGGTTACAAGAGTATTCTGTAGAGACGGCCATTGCCACAATTGTTGATGGAAGTGACAGATTAAAAATCAACACCCAACACCTCAGGGAGCTTAGCTTTCGAGTCGAATCCATCTACCAGTTCATCGGCGAGCTGCTTATTCAACCCGGTAATGAGGTAAGTGGCAAATTACATCCACCTGATGATTTTCTGTGCTGGTCTTCATCACAACACATGAATGTTAATTATGTTAGAGCAATAAGCTCAATTGTTCTTGTGTTTTTTTATTCAGGCAGTCTTGCAGGCACGTGTGGGCAGGAATGTTGATGGCATTGATCTCAATCTCTATTATCAATCTCTGCAATTGTTGAGACAATTTCAGGCTGATCATTTGAATACCATATTACCATCTACACCCAACCCATCAAACAATGCAAAATGAAATCGTACTGGCAAAAGGGTCAAAGCTAATAGCTCAATATGATCACCTCATAATTGAAACCAAAACGAATATATTTTTAAGGGAGTTTCACTAAAACACCCAAAATGGGGGTTGAAATTATAAAAAAACCCAAGCACTATTTAAACATATAAACACACCCAAAACCCATCATTACACACACTCAAAACCCATTTATAAACACACCCAAAAAGTTGACATTGGAGTTGATTTTGGGTGTGTTTCTATGTTTAAATAGTGCTTGGGTTTTTTTATAAATACATGTCTAGGATTGAGTTTATTTATAAATTTGTATATTTTTAATTGGGCCCTTAGATTTTTTTATGAACTTTTTGGGTAGGCCCAAGTCCTCACCTACCGTTAACGTTTTCGCTGGAAGCCTGTGCGTCTTTATCGGGTGCGCCGACCCACACCTGATTGTTGGTTCTTACGTGTCAAATGCTGGTTGGTAAGAATATACGCGGTGCCGGACCCACGTTGTTGCTGCTCCTTTGCACCGCCCTCATCATGTGCGCTATCGGTGCGGAGCACTGGATACGTGGATTCAAAGTATCACGTGTAGAATAGCAAGAGAAAGTGATTATCTCGTGTCTCATGCTCCCACCCAAAAGTCTACGCACTCGCAAAATGAAAATATCTCCTCTTCTTTTCTCTCTCTTTTCTGGGTTTGCTTCTTCAATTAACCATTATTGTTGTTCTAATAATTTTGGCAAAACAATAGTCTGAAATTTTAACAATATTCTTTATATCTATTCAAGCTGTAGTTTAGAGTACTCTAAATTAATTTAATTTGTGTTAGGAAATTCGAACTTTGTTGTAAAGAGGCAGGTTCGTTGCTCAGGTTAATTGGTTTGATTTTTTTTTCAACACAAGTGATACTCTAAATTATAAGGAGATGAGGTTTCTCACACACGGCCAGAGTGTCATAATGTTTAAATCTGAAATCATTAGTTTGCAAATTAAAGCTCTTTTTCACTAGATTATAAACTCTTATCGGTGGTTAATTGACCTAACTTAAGTCCGTAAAATAATTACCGTTTTTAAAATTGAGAATTAGGTGCGGCTACCGACGCCACGTTGGTAATGCCCTGCCACATTGGAGATTGGGCCACTTACCAAAGCTGATTTGATACTGTGAAAAGTTGTCACCAAATGTACACCAATAAATTTTCCATGGTGGAGATGAGACTAGAGAAGAGATTTATCCAAGACCATGAATCTACTTTGTACCGACATTATTATGGGGATTCCACTATTTCAGCGAAAAGAGGACCAGATATATTGACGGAAAGAGGCAAAATGGTCAAATGGCCCTGGAATTTTAGGGAGGAAGTAGGACCCTCATATGATAATGATTTTTTCTGAGGTCCAACACTTATGTGCAACTTCGCATGTCAGATTTGTAACGGGTCTTTTACTCTTTAGCTTTTGGAAGGAAAATGATAGATTTGCTCTGCTAGATTATGTGGGTTTAGGTGAGATGCACTATAATATTATTTACTATTATCTTTTTGCAACTTTTTCTCCTTTTTGGTAATCTTATGATTGATAATGCTATCCAATTCACATTTTAATATGTTTGTTTGTGTTGAAATTATGTATTTGGTTTTTTTATTCTCCATTTTGGGGGTGGTTATGATCTATATTAGATCGGTGTCACCTCAAAATCACAACCGAATCAAGTGTGTATTTTGACTGTTTGTGTATATAATCCTCCTTGTACATTGAAATTTATCTAGTTTTGTAAATCAAATATACATTTCAATTTTTTGTTCAATGATTGCTAAAGTTACTATGATGTTTCTACCTTATTAATCAGAGAATATATGTAATAATTTAAACTCAAAGGTCAGCTTCATGTATCATGTTAATTATCAAGTAAATTACCACATCATCAGTCTCTTAACAATTTAAGCACAGTAATTGTCGATTCTAATTGTTGTTTTTACTGTGAATGATCTTCGTGGAATTATTATTTAAATAAAAATTAGAGGGAGATCTCGTAATTATTTTAACAATTAATTACGTAAAGTAAAATATCGATATTACGTGTTTGTTAGCTTAGTTGGTTACAATAAAATAACCATGTTCCATGACCAGCTAACCAACCGTTCATTCTTGTATATAATATGGGATTTATTTTGATATAAAATAAATAAATTTATGGGATTTATAATAAATTAACCAAAATGATTACGACGGTTTAGCAATTTTTAATCCATTTGTGTTCGTCCATGGCAGCCGCAGCTAGCCAAGATAAAGCCATGTGTACGGTTGACGACCCTTGGGAGCACTGGGTTGATAGAGATAAACAGATTCCATACTATAAAATTAGCATCGACCGTTGGCTTTTGTTTTTCTGCGATTCTTTAATAGCATGTATGGTGTGACATTCCATTAATTTATTATTCAATTCAATTTTGTTTACACAACAAAATGTTATTTTCTTTTCAATAATTGTGCTAATAGTTTTATATAAACCAAGACTGCAATGTCTTACGAATGTGACATGTACTTGTCTTTTGTAAATTGTATTAGTTTAAAGCCGCTTATTTGGAGCTGAACGAGTCTATAGTTAAACTTTGATTTAGTTTAAATATTTTTCTCGTTTTATAAGTTTATAGCTTAAGTGATTATAAGCAATTATCCATACATCCGAGCTCCTCTTTTAAAATCCGCTAGTCTCGTTGGTCTTGGTTTTCGTATTGGCTACTAGCTAGAAATAGAAAATATTGAATACCACGGCCTAATTTCTACATCATAAATATAGAAGACAAAAATTCCCACAATATTGTAGCTACAAATTGTTGACCCAATACGAACTTGACTGCACATGTGAACAATGTATTTACACAAACAAATACGCAAAAATTAACAGAGTTATCTGCATGAGTATATAAATACGAATAAAAAAGAAAGCCTTTTGAACTGAAAAGGCTAAAGCCTTTTTGGTTTACATCTTTTAACTGTGGCGCACACAGGGTTTTAACATTTCATGACGTCCAGTTTGTGATTTGCTTTGAGTGTTTTGTGTATTACTGTTTGTATGCACAGCAAGCTCTGTGCTTCGTTTTCTTCTCCTCGACAGATAAATATCACTTCATCTTCACCATTACCAAACAAAAACACAAAAACACAAAAAAAAACACACACACACACACACACACACACGAGAGGAGGGACAGGCGGGGTGTTATGGATTCTGATCGATCTCTAACTTCACTTCCTCAAGGTCTCAGCTGGGCTCGTCGGAATTGCCACCAGTTCCGATCGGTGAAACCAGTTTTCCGGCTGCTGCCTGAGGTTCCGGCTTTCTAGCTTCTGAATTTTCTGGTCAAACTTAGCTGGATTGGATTATCAAGGTTTTACTTTGACGTCTACTTTGGTTGGTATGTTTTGGTTGGTTTATGTTTTTTGGTTCCTGAGAAATGAAAGAAAAGTTTGTTTTTTCGGTAGCGGAGAAGTTCAAGTAGAATTCTTTTCGTTTCCTTTATGAAGTTCCTGTGTGGGTTTTGTTGGTAACTGAGAAAATTGGGATGGAAAAGAAGGTGAAGCCCAACATGTTTTTGTTTGGTTATCTTTAATGGTTTTTTTTTCATCTGGGTTTTCTTAGATTGCAGTTAAGTTTTTTGGGCAAAGGGTTAAAAAATTTCAAAGAGCAGAGCTTTTGCCCTTTATAGAAGCCAAGAAAATGGAGGAAAGGAGAAAGAAAGAATTTATTTACTTTTTGCCAAGTTTAGACGAGTCTCTGTAGTTACTAGAAAAGATAAATATGTTCTAAATTTTTTCTTTTTAATACCAAAACCAGAGTTTTACAGAAAACATACAAAATCAAAATACCTATCTATCTCCCCTCCTTTTACCGGATCTGGGGCCAAACTATTAATTAATAGAATAGCATTCAAACTGTTTAGGGACAGGGGTTTTTCCATCTAAACATTACAAAAAAAAAAACTCTGAATCCAACGGTGGAATTCCACGCAAGCATGAACATTCTCTGTAATCTCTTCACCATTCAATGTCTTGTATGTATATCATATTAAATTCAAAGATTCTTACCTTTCTGAGTCAGATCATGCCCTTTTGTCAGTCACAGTACTATCACTCAAGTCAAGTTGCCTTAAACTTCTGTCAGTTCTCAGAGAAGAAAGTTAAATAAAATGGGATTGAAAACTAACAAATGTGTCAAGCATTTTCTTGGCCTTGTGCTTGTTCTTTCCAAGATCCAAAATGACTGTTATGTGATGTTTATAAATGTTCGACATTGTTCAGATTTTTTGAGTCTACAACCACAATTTGGTGGCCTGGAAAAGTGGAATTGAATAGCTTGCTAGCATAGGCACAGCTAATGGGGCACTTCTCCTCCATGTTCAGTGGACTGGCAAGGTCGCTATCCATCAAGAAAGGGAAAAATAACCATGGAAATTCTGATGCAAGAGATGCTGCGGAAGCAATGGCGAAGGAGGCGAAGAAGAATGACATGATACTGCGCTCTTCCGGGATTGTCAATGTTGATGGTTCAAACAATTTTGCTTCAGTTTTCTCAAAGAGAGGCCAGAAAGGAATGAACCAGGACTGCTGTATTGTGTGGGAGGTAAGCAAAGGTTGCTCATTTTCTTGTTGCCAATTTAGAACTAGTAGGAAATTCGATATAAGACAAAATTAAATTTCTGGATCAGCTACATGGTGTTTGTTCCAATTGATGTATGTGAATGTTGTTTGTTTTGGTTTTAGGAATTTGGGTGCCAAGAGGACATGATGTTTTGTGGAATATTTGACGGGCATGGTCCATGGGGACATTTTGTGGCAAAAAGGATCAGAGAAACAATGCCACCCTCTTTGTTGTGTAGTTGGCAAGAGACACTAGCTCAAACTTCCCTCGATCCAGATTTGGACTTGGAATTGGATAAAAAGGGTCACCGGTTTAATATATGGAAGCATTCCTATATCAAAACTTGTGCTGCTATTGATCAGGAGCTTGAGCGGCATCGTAGAATTGATTCCGTTTACAGCGGAACAACTGCCCTCTCTATTGTCAGACAGGTACTAATTTGTCATTGGAATATGCAGAGCAAATATAAAGTGTTTCTAAGTTGTTTACTTAAGTTCTTAATAAGCTATTAACTTACTAGGTGAAGAAACTAGTTGCTGTAATGAGCCTTGACTCAGAAACTAGTTCTAATTGTTTTTAGGCTTTGTATGAGTTTGTGCAATTTTGAACAGTATTAACATGAATGTACGTCTTAATTTTTGTTTGTGTAGGGTGATCTAATTTTTGTAGCAAATGTTGGTGATTCTCGTGCTGTTTTGGCTACCACTTCAGAAGATGGAAGCTTAGTGCCAGTTCAGCTTACTGTTGATTTCAAGCCCAGTTTACCTCGTGAGTCTCTAATCTATATGATGATCTCTCTCTCAACACACAAATGGAGAAAATAACATATGGTCACACATTTTGACATTTTTTTTTCAATTGCTTTGTTTGCAGAGGAGGCGGAGCGAATAATTCAAAGCAACGGGCGGGTGTTCTGCTTAGATGATGAACCAGGGGTGCAAAGGGTGTGGCAGCCAGATGGGGAAACACCAGGACTTGCAATGTCTAGAGCCTTTGGAGATTACTGTGTGAAGGGCTTTGGGCTCATTTCTGTGCCTGAAGTGACACAGAGAAATATAACAAGCAGAGATCAATTTGTTGTGTTGGCAACTGATGGGGTATGCACATTACTCTTCTAATGAAACTTTTCTAAATTGAAAAACAAAACAGGAATTTGCAATATTTCCAAGAGGGTACTTAAAGTTGTGATTAAAACTTGTTTTTTATATTTTTACTTGTAGGTTTGGGATGTTGTTTCAAATCAAGAAGCAGTGCAGATTGTAGGTTCAACAGCAGACAGGGCAAAGTCTGCTAAGCGTCTGGTGGAGTGTGCTGTGCATGCATGGAAGCGCAAGAGGAGGGGAATAGCAATGGACGACATTTCAGCCATTTGCCTCTTCTTTCATTCTTCCCCTTTGTCTGACCCTCAGCAAGTTCACCCAATCAGTATTGCCACACCAAAATAGCTTGCAGAAATCCTGCTCCTCCTTCTCCTTGTTTGTCATTTAACTTTGTAGTAGTTTGATTTTGGTTAGATGTTTGATTAGGAAGTTAGGCAAGCAAAAATCTTGGTTCAGATTTCAATCAACCGCTAGATGCTTCTATAGTTGTATGCCCCATTAAGTTTCAAGATACATAGGCTTCCTATGGTAGGTATGTCCAGTGATGTCCTTATCCTACTTATGGAATGTAAACAAACGATCGGAAACCTTCAATTGTGTAGGTTCTGTTTCAAGGATTATTCACGGAAAAAATCAGCTAAATCGGAAATTATCTAATTATGCACGTTTTTTTTCTTCAGTTTTATCTAACTACCTGTGTTTCTTTCATATTTTAAATGACTAAATATCTTTGCACTTGGACAATTTTTCCCGAAGACAACCTAAAATAGACAATTTTGATGAGAATTTGTGCATTTTGGACATCTTTAATATAGATATATTTTCAAGATACATATCCCAATTCAAGTACTAAATTTAAGCATCTCATTCACATCTCACGCGCCACAACGAGGATGTGGTCAAATGAAAAAATTCGGGGTTTTATCACAGAATTTCAATTGCAGTGTTTCTGCAGATGTTACGAATTTACTCACATTGCAACATATAAATGCTTAAGGCATACCCTGTGGTGTTACGTGATATCATTCACACAGGGCTCTTGGGCTGTTTTGGGCAGCATCCCATTCTTAGATGGAGGATCTGGTTGGGCTGCCTGGCCCAGAGACATAATGAGTCAGTTTCTGGTTGTTCAGATAGAATTCCGGAGTGTCCTTCGAAATAATGGCAGACGACAATAACGAGTTTTGTCTTTATACGACGCGACGAGTCGTGACTCGTGCCGACATCGAAACAGTTTACGACAGCAAGTGTATATATCGAGGGGCGAGCGAGTTCAAGAAACTCGCGTGTGTGAGGTAAGCAACCTCGTCCAGCCATGCTTCACCCAATAAACAAAAACCTTATCCAAAACCAAATCTCATTTGCGGAGAACTCCAACAATCAAAATCAATTAGCGCGAGAAACTGACGACTGACTCGAACAGTTACTTTCTAAACTTTGAATTAGTTTAAAAATTGAATGCCCAAACTCGAAAGCGACAGTACAAAAAGCAAAAGAATGGTGTTCGACTGGACGTGTGTACCGAATATTCACTAGATTTGAATATGTGATTTCGAATCCGCGACATCCCACACGCAATGATAAGTTAATAAGCAGACTAAATAAGTAACTGTACTTATCAATAAGTCAACGTACTTATCACTGATAGGTCAGTAGAAAAGGAAAGACCCCTGTAAATGCATCGAAGGTAGCGACTCTCTCTGTGTGTCTCTGAACGCAGTCCCTCTCTGGAACCCTAGAAATCCTCGAACGGTGAGCTTCATGAATCTTAGAAATACCGATGAATTCTTGCACTTTGAGGTTTCTCTGAACTCAGATTCGGAGCCTGAGTATGTGGACTTGCATGATTTTGGGTTCAAACGTTAATTATGTGTCTGTTTGTTTGTGCAGTTGAATTTGAAAGCTCTGTTATTTCTCTGTTTCGGAGAAGGAAAGGGAAGTTTGGGTTTGAAAATTGAGAGTCGAAAAATGTCGTCTTTGAGCAGAGAATTGGTGTTTCTCATACTCCAATTCCTGGAGGAGGAGAAGTTCAAAGAGTCCGTACACAGGTAAGCTAAGATTCCCGCCCTCTGTATTTATAATTGTACACGTATACGCGTAATTTATGTATGTATTTTTACATGCATGTACATAATACATACATGTATTTGTCAACCGGAGGTTGTTGTGTTGATTTTGGCTTTATGTGATGATTATGAGACTTAAATTATTTAAAGTTCATGTCTTTTCATTTTCATTGTTTTTAAACTTTAATTTTTAATGAAAGTTAGCCTATGTTTCGTTATTGAGCGGTGATTATTTGGATTTAATTTTTCTATCCTAGCAAACTTTTTTAAGTTGTTAAAAAAATTGATAACTTCACTCCAAATGAACGCGCCAGGCTGAATTGAGGTTCATATAAGGATCATGGGTTAAGACTTTGAAAACTGGAACAATATCTATGAGTAAATTTACCTGTTTTTCGCTCGTGTCTTTCCCGGAAAATGGTGAGAGAACATGAACATTTTACTTAATTTGAGCAAAATAGTAGCATTTGAGCTTAGTTGATTAATGAGGGTGATTTATTGGGGTCTAGAAACATAGATGCTTACAGATGAAATAATCTAAGGTTTTAGAGTCAATAATGTGTCCCTTGTCTCTCTCGCAATTAATTGAATGATAAATGATGTTGCAGTATGAGAGAAATTGAAAAAAGAAAATGATGAAAGATGAAGCTATGAATATGTGACAACTAATAGTGAAAGAGAAATACATCTAATTTGCTTTAATAAGGTTTGGTCAAGCAAGTTTTTTTGTTTAAATTGGGATATATTATGATAGCAAGATGTAATGGAAAAAAAATAATGATAATGAGAAAAAAGTCTTGTTTAACAAAAGTACCAATATAATTTCCGTGTGTGCAATTGATTTTCTTTTCTCAATTTGGAAATCTTGTTTCAACATTTATTTTCTTTCTTACACTCCAAATTCCTCTATCTTGAAACTATTTAATTTCAACCTATATGTTGTAGGCTTGAGAAAGAATCAGGGTTCTTTTTCAACACAAAGTACTTTGAAGAGAAAGTTCAGGCTGGAGAATGGGATGATGTAGAGAAGTACTTATCAGGATTTACAAAAGTTGATGACAACAGATACTCAATGAAGATATTTTTTGAAATAAGGAAGCAAAAATATCTTGAAGCACTTGATCGGTAATACTTGAATCTGCTTTTTCTGTTTAGGGCTTTTATTTTTCTTAAAAAAACCATTTTGAGTTTATTGGGCAAGAGTATAATCTTATATTCTGTCCTTTTGTGTTTATTATGTTATAGGCAAGACAAACCGAAGGCTGTTGAAATCTTAGTTAATGATTTGAAAGTGTTCTCCACATTTAATGAAGAACTTTACAAAGAAATCACGCAGCTTCTCACTCTTGGAAATTTCAGGTAATTTCTTGCATGTAAATAAAGAGGGTATTGATCTAGTAGCAAGGTCTACGTTGACAAATGCTTCCTCCTATGGCCTGGTTAACTGATGATGAAAATTAGGGAAAAGGGGTGAGTACTTAGATGAGGTCCCCTTGATATTTGTTGATCCGTTCAATAAATTTCGTACTTATAAAAAAGAAAAGTTTCATTGCTTGGAACCTTAGAGAACAAACAATTTCCCAACCAAGACTGGTTAAAGCTTGGCTTGATGGGTGTAGGATTTTATTACTACAAGGCCAAAGCAGCATGTAAGACAAAAATGAATCAAGGAGTGAGTTATTTTACCTCTTCCACATTTTTTCGTCAACCAAGTGGGCCATCATGTTGTTGGAATCATACTTTATAGGAGAGGCAATGTGTATTTATGACAATTAAGTTCAAATTACCCTGCCAGATATCGTAATTGATCAGGAAAAAAAAATGAACAGCTCTGTGGGATTGCTTGCGTTTCTATGTCACTTTATAACCCTAATATATGGTAATTGTAGGTAACTAGTCTTTTTATTTTTTTGGAAATAACTACCAGGGAAAATGAACAGCTTTCCAAGTACGGTGACACCAAAACAGCTCGCAGCATAATGTTGATAGAGCTTAAGAAACTTATAGAAGCAAATCCCCTCTTTCGTGATAAGCTTGTTTTTCCCACTCTGAAGGCATCAAGACTGAGGACTCTGATCAATCAAAGGTGAGAGTGATATTCTTTTGGATGAACAACGCTGGGTTCCCAATTCCTTTTCCCCTCATAGGTTTTCATGTACAGGTGTTCTAGACATTAGTTGAGTGCTGCAATGATTTTTTATTATTAAAATAATTCCCTATTTGCTATTCTTTTCTTAATTTTAAATTTGAAGTAAATATTTTTGCCTCACTTCCCTACCTCAATAAATTAGCTAAGCTTGACTCCCTTGCTTATACTTCAGCATTTCAATTTTCAAATAAACGCCTTCTTTATCCATTATATGTTAATTGGTTGCATTCATTCAAGCATAGGGTGCTTCTAGCACTTGTGTCACCTTAATGAAGGACAAATGAATGACTGAAGCTGGTTTTATTTTGAAACTTGTACGCAATCATTAACATTTGTGTTTTCCTGTTTCCTTTCTCTTCTTCCCAAAAGGGAAAAAAATTATAAGCTAGTGGAGGCTATTGTGCTTCTTTTGTGTCGTATACCAGTCCTGAGCCTGGGTAAGGGTAGGAGGGCTAGTGGAGTTCTTTTAACATTTTCTTATTGTAAAGTTTTCTAATTGGTTCAGATTATTGTGCTAAGCCAATAATTGTCTGATATCTGATACTTCTATGTAGTTTGAACTGGCAGCACCAGTTATGCAAGAATCCAAGACCAAACCCCGACATCAAGACGTTGTTCACAGATCATACGTGTGCACCTCCCAATGGTCCTCATACTACTACACCCGTCACTCTTCCTGTTGCTGCAGTTGCAAAACCTGCTGCTTATCCTTCACTTGGAGCTCATGGTGTATGATATTATACATAGAAGCTTTGATCTTTATTCAATTTTCCTTCTTGATTATACATCAGAGATATAAATTTAAATGTTGACTAGTAAATGTCTTGTTTCCTTTACTGTGTACAGCCCTTTCCAGTCACTGCAGCCACTGCTAATGCTAATGCTTTAGCTGGTTGGATGGTCAATGCCTCAGTCTCTTCATCTGTGCAAGCAGCCGTTGTTACTGCATCATCCATCCCTGTTCCACAGAACCAAGGTGAGAACTTGAGTTGCATTTTTAAAATCACTTTTCTGTACATTGTTGTTTGAGTTTCATATTGTGGAATGTACTTCGGATAATTTCAAGTTTCAGTTCCGTAGCTGAGGAAAATTGGATGGTCTTAGCATTTCTAGGTTTAATGGTACACTAC